GTTAAGGGCCCAGAGCTTCACCTGGCAAGCCCTTCTATTCTCCAGCCCCATCTGTTCCCAGCAAGTTCAAGGAGTTCTGCAGGAGTCTTCTAGCTCTGAGAAACACAATTGACAAGCAATGAAATGAACTGTTATAGCTGGTAGACAGAGGCTGTTGTGTTTAGGTAGCTGGGAGTGCTTCTTATTGCCAGACACTTGGAGGTAGATCTTTCTTATTTTTTTAGATGGCAGGTATACTTATTTTTTAAGTTTGCAGAGGAGTTAGCAGGGGTGAGTGCTTGGAGTGGGTCATATGGGTCCAGGTCCTGCCTATGGGGTCATATCCTTTCAGTATGTTCCACCTCTGGCCAGCCAGCATCATTACCCCACTGCCCCCTGGCCCTATGAGCAGTACCTCCAGCCTCTGCCCCTTCCACCCTCCTTAACCAGGTGGTAGCAAACGCAGTGGCCGCCTGCTCGAGATCGCCGAGTCTCACCCTAGTAGCAACCTGCTCGACTTGAACCCACAGTCCATTAACAAGCTACTGACAGCCCTAAATGAGTGCACCGAGTGGGGCCAGATCTTCATTCTGGACTGCCTGGCCAACTATACGCCCAAGGACGACCGTGAGGCCCAGAGGTGAGCAGGTTGCCCACTGCTTGCCAGCCCAGCCTGAGGACCCCCAGACCTGGTCCTCAGGGGCTTCCAACCATGAGCTGGGTCATAGACCTTAGTGGGCCCTTTTCCAGGCCTTGCCCCACAAACCATCCTCAGACACGCCTCAAGGGAGGCCAGCTGCTTCCCATTTCCAGAACCTGGCAGTCAGTAGTGTTGCCTCAGGCAGCCAGCTTACTGCTCACGTGGGCACAGGCAGGGCCTGACTTGAGAGCTGATGGTGACCTGGTCACTTTGGCTGAGTCAAGGAGATGGGTAGCAGCAGAAGCCACCATTCATTGACTTATCAAGTGGTGCCTGAGGCTCTGCTGCGTGCTTCCGCACATTAGAGAATCTTTAAAGCAACTCTGAAGAAGGTCCTACCACCATCCCCCCTTTTATAGATGAGGAAACTCCAGCTTAGAGAATGGAGGGAATCGTGCATTCATCTAGCTGTGACTCACCTGACTTTTGGTCTTAAGCAACACTATATTCTGCCCCACTGGCATGCCCTAGCAACAGATGGAAGGGAGGGAGTTGCACTCAAGGAATATTTACCACGTGCCAGGCACTGTGCTCATCCTTTACCTTCATTATCTCACTTAGGCCCCTGGCAACTTTGTGAACTAGGCATCATCTCTATTTTATAGATGAGGAAACTGAGAGTCAGAGTAGTTTGAACCTGCTTGGGGTCTGTTAGCAGGCAGCAGAGCCAGGATCTAGATCTCTCTCCTACAGAAGACATGCTATTTTGATAACTAAAAACAGGATATTTTCCCTTGTCTATCTCTCCTATGTGCCCATTGGAACGGACGGACCCCAGCATCTGTGAGCGGGTCACCCCCAGGCTCTCCCATGCCAACTCTGCCTGTGGTGCTCTCTGCTGTGAAGGTGCTGATGAAGTTCATGGAGATGTTGTCTAAGGACCTGGACTACTATGGCACACTGCTCAAGAAGCTGGCCCCACCCCTGGTCACACTGCTGTCAGCCGAGCCAGAGCTGCAGTACGTGGCCCTGCGCAACATCAACCTCATCGTCAGAAAAGGTACTGGAATCACCATGCACTTATGCGAGCATGCATCCCGGGGAGTTCTTCTGCTCGGAACAGGGGCTCTCAAGGAAACAGACCTGTCACCATGCGGAAGTTTTAAAGCATAGCTTAACCCAGGGGTTCTCAATCACTGGTGACTTTGACTCCCGGGGTCTGGGGACATTTTTTTTTTTTTTTGAGACAGAGTCTGCTTTGTTGCCCAGGCTGAGTGAGTGTCGTGGCATCAGCCTGGCTCACAGCAACCTCATACTCCTGGGCTCAAGCAATCCTTCTGCCTCAACCTCCAAGTAGCTGGGACTACAGGCATGCACCACCATGCCCGGCTAATTTTTTCTATATATATATTAGTTGGCCAATTAATTTCTTTCTGTTTATAGTAGAGATGGGGTCTCACTCTTGCTCAGGCTGGTTTCGAACTCCTGACCTCGAGCAATCGCCCGCCTCGGCCCTCAGAATGCTAGGATTATAGGCGTGGGCCACCTCGCCCGGCCTGGGGACATTTTTTGATTTTCACATCGGGGAATGGGTACTGGCATGTCGAGCGGTAAGGCCACAGATGCTGATCAGTATGCTACAATGAACAGCGTGGCCTCTTTAACAAGGAACTTTCAGGCCCAAAATGACAATAGTGACAAGGTTGAGAAGCCTTGGCTTAACCTAACCAGGAGCAGCAGGTTGGGTTAGGCTGACTTGGGACTTCTTAACCTGCACATTGGATGGTTTTAGAGTCCACAGAACCCTCCTGAAATGGGTTGTAAGATTTTGCGTGTCTGTGTGCATTTTTCCTGGGGACGGAGTCCATAGCTCTAGTCCAATTCCGTGAGGTTGGAGAACTCCGAGATGGTAAGGACTGTTGAACTTTGCATCAACAGTGAGGCCTAGGGAGGATTTATCAGAGTCACTCCAAATGCCATGCAGCCCGTTTCCCTCCCTCCCGTGAGAGTGACTGCAACAGTAAGTCTTTTCCCAAACAAAGGGTCTGATTCCAGGGTAGGCTGGAACTGAAAAACAGTTGAACACTACAGAGTCTGAGGAGTTCTCTGGAACAATCCCCTCCTCGTCTGAGGCAGCTGAGTAAGGGAGCCCTGCAGCTCTAGGGATTGGCCCTCCTTAGTTTCCTCCCAGCCTTGTTGGTCCAACGGCTCACTCAGCAATCAGGACTTGGCAGCAGCAACTAACTGTTGAGTATCCATGTGTTACCTCAGGCCCGTTGCTATGAGCGGGGATATGCAGAGACTAAAGCTTCTCGTAGTCATTCTCTCTTGGAAGAGAGCATGCTTCCTCCTTGTCCTAGCTTCAGTCTGGTTCTTAGTACTCCCTGGGGGGCCCAGATATATTGGTTGAATAGGGACATTTGTGAAGGTTTTGGAGGTAAACATGGGAAAGCTTTCTGAGTGTCTAAACCAAGGAATGAAACTAGGGCTTCCCAGTTGCAGTGTGGTTTTTTTTTTTTTTTTTTTTTTTTGAGATAGAGTCTCACTCTGTTGCCTGGGCTAGAGAGTGCCAGGGCATCAGCCTAGCTCACAGCAACCTCAAACTCCTGGGCTCAAGCAATCCTTCTTTCTCAGCCTCCAGAGTAGCTGGGACTACAGGCATGTGCCACCATGCCCGGCTAATTTTTATATATAATTTTAGTTGGCCAATTAATTTGTTTCTATTTTTAGTAGAGATGGGGTCTAACTCTTGCTCAGCCTGGTGTCGAACTCCTGACCTTAAGTGATCCACCCACCTTGGCCTCCCAGAATGCCAGGGTGAGCCACCGCACCCGGCCTGCAGTGTGGTTCTTTACACATAAATGCCCTTAATAAGACTTAATAAGGTGTAGTGACTTGTAGATCTAGATCAGTGTGAAGGGCTCCCTGTGCTATATTTAACATGATAAATCTCTTAAGTTGTTCATGTCACTGAGACACAACCTGGCCTGGTCCTGGAATGTAGTTGGGCAGCTTTTGCCAAGTCCTGATTGTAGAAATTACCTTCTTGCTACCCAGCTCGGGGTCTCCCTTGTCCCATGGGGCATGACAAAGGCTCCTTGCTTGGCCAGTATCTCCCCATAGCTTGTGTACCCCATTTCTCCTCCCCATAGCACTGAGCCCCCGGGTTCCTCCTCTCTCTCTGTCCTGTCTTCTTCTTTACCCTTTGTCCTCATTCCTTTTCTTTCCTCTTTTCTGTTCTGGAAAGGGCATAGGAGGAGGAGTCAGGGGGTGATGGCTCTCGTTTTGCTGCCATCCTTATTAGCATTAGCCGTGTGACCTAGTACAGGCCTCTCAACCTCTCTGAACTTTCCTTGTCTAAGAAAACTGCAGTGGGTGGTGTCAGTTGAGGGCAGAAGGGTGTTGCCTTTGAGGGAGGGGCAGTGATGTGTGTGACAGTGCTCCACTGGTGACAGTTCCTGCCTAGCAAGTGCCTTCTCTGAGGTGGGCATCAATCATGCTAGATGCTTCTTGTCTAACTTTCATAAACAGGCCTGTTATGTAGGTGTCTGTGTCGCGGTCCCCAAGACCATCCCCACATTCAGAGATTCGTTAGTAGGATTCATGGGACTCAGTATATAGCTGTGCTCACAGCTTAGATTCGTCAGAGCAATGCAGTCAGGATACAAGGTGGGAATCCGTAAGAGACTTCCTTATGCTTTCTTCCACCCATGGGGGTGTCGCACAAAGCACACTCCTCCCCCAGCGACAAAATGCAGCAACATGTGTGTAATGTTTCTGCCTGGGGAAGCCTATTTGAGACTGAGCACCCAAAGTTTTTATTGGCTGTAACTAACAAAATTCCAGACTCTCAGAAGGAAAGCAGGTATTTAGCATAAACCTAAGTGTTTGTACAAATAGTCTAGGCACAGTTAATCATTTAGGGAATAGAGAACACTCCTGAAATCCGACTTCCCACATGCCAGGCCTTTCTATGATTAGCAGACTAAGGTCTGCAGTGATAATGCTTTTCTGCAGTGTCATTCCCATTTCATGGGTGAGGAAACAGAGGCCTAGGGTCACAGGCTAGGATTGGGGCCAAGGTCTGTCTGATTCCCAAGCCTGTCACATGGTGCCTGCTGCCTCTCAGATGGGAACTTCTCTTGCTGTACTTCATCTTCCCTTCCTGTGATGTGGTCAGGTAGGCAGTAACCAGTCAGAACCTTGCTCAGGCCAGTCAGTGGCCCTCTGCCCAGGAGCTTGCAGCCAGAGTAGTGACTCTGCCTTCACAGACATCAGACTCCACCTCAAACCCTAGAAATGTCCTGGCAAATGTGGAGGGGTTTTCTCATAAAGCTTAAGCCTTGCTTTTTGCTCTCTGGGCATCCTGCCCTACCACCAGGCCTGAGATCCTGAAGCATGAGATGAAGGTCTTCTTTGTGAAGTATAATGACCCCATCTACGTGAAGCTGGAGAAACTAGACATCATGATCCGCCTGGCCTCCCAGGCCAACATCGCCCAGGTCAGCAGAGCGTGGTTGTCAGGGCACGGGCGTTGGTGTCGGACAGCTCTGCCGAGCTGTGGTCCCTGGGCCAGCTGATAAGTCTCAAAGAGTGTTTAGCAAGGGGCTTTGTAAGCAAGTAAAAAAAACTGATGTTTTTGTTACTAAAGAATGTTCTTGGGTGGGGCAGGAGGGGCTACAACAAAAGTAAAAAGAATGTTCTCTCTATTATTACCTGTCATCCATCCATTAAAAAGTGTTAGTTGGCTAGATCAGCCTAAAAAGTGTTGGCTAAATCAGCCTAAAACAAGGGTTGTCCAACCTTGCTTTCCTTTTTGGGCACCTGACAGCTCCCTCCCTCCCTTGGGCCTTCTCCCTTGAGCAAGAGGCAGAATCCCATCCTTCTAGGGATCTATGTATACCTACTTCCCAGGGGTGTTCTGAGAGATTGCCCCATCAGATCCCCTTGGACCCCATCTTCTCTGTTTGGGCCACAGGTGTTGGCAGAGCTGAAAGAGTACGCGACAGAAGTGGACGTGGACTTTGTTCGGAAGGCTGTGCGCGCCATTGGCCGCTGTGCCATCAAGGTGGAGGTGAGGCTCTGGGACTCTGTCCTTGGCCAGGGAGGAGAAGGGAGCCAAAACCAGGAAACCAGTCTGATTCTAGCAGAATCTACCAGCTGCTTGTTGTCCAGGAGACCCTGAGTGTCACCACTGGAGCTCCCAAGGCACCCATTGTATAGATCTGGTTGGTCTCCTTTTCACTCTGTAGTCTCCTTTAGGTCTTCAGGTTGCTGCAGATAAAATTAATCCATCATAATCATAGTTTACCTGCAAGATTAGCTGAGACGCTGGGTCAGCCATTAGCTGGTGGTGGCCCTGGTAAACTTAGCTTTCACTTCACAGAGCAGGGGCAGGGGCTCTGCCTGTTGAACTTGAGCTGCCCTTGTACCTCTTTTTCCAAGCTCCCCAGGGCCACTCCAGACCCTTGTGTCCTGGCATTTCGTCCCCTCCCGTTCTCTGCTTGTGGAGACATACCTTGACCCCTGAGCCAGACTCACTTTAAATGAGTCTACTGGTGGCTAGAGGATCTTGAGACAGGATCTTGGGTCACCTGCAGCCCAGACCCTTGGTGCCTATAATGGTCTGGCCATCCTGAGAAATTTCCCTCATCAGGCCATTAGCACAGTGTGTGGGAATAAAGGTGGAAGAGCTGGTCTAAGCAGAGACTGTGTGAGTGTTTTTGGTCACAAGAGCCCATTTTATGAAACAAACAAAAGAAAGGTGGCAGGATCAGGCTGGAGTATAGTCACTGTGCCCCCACTTGCCCTAGAGGAGCTCCAGGGACCCTCCCTGTTCTCAAGAACTCTGCCTTTGGCTTTTCCTCAGTCTCATTATGTCTCCCTATATCCCTGCCATCCCAGGGCCTTTATTGGGCACTCGTTCTCCCCCCTGTTACCTAGAGAGCAGGTTCTCCTGTTCTCCTGCTGTGATTAGGAAGATGAGTAAAGAGCCCCTGGCCAAGGCATGGTCATCAGAGGCTTTCTTGGAGACAGGGTACAGGGTCCTTGCCCACACTCTCCTCCTCCTCCTACACAGCAATCTGCAGAGCGTTGTGTGAGCACTCTGCTCGATCTCATCCAGACCAAGGTCAACTACGTGGTCCAGGAAGCCATCGTGGTCATTAAGGACATCTTCCGCAAGTATCCCAACAAGTATGTGTCCAGCCCTCCCAGGGAGAGAGCAATCCTGCTCTGTTTGGGGTGGGGGGGAGGAAAGTATGGTGGGAAGGAAAGGGAAGGGGCTGCTTTTCTCTTTCTTACTTGTCTGCTACAGACAGCATGCTCAAAAGAAACCCTTTGGTTTTTTCTTATTTCCCCTGAGCTGCCTCGTCTCTGCTCCCTGGGCCAAAATATGAGCTAAAGCATAACAGATAAAACTCAAATCCCCTTTATTCACATCTCTCGGGTCTTGCGGGGCAGCTGCCCATCTCTTCTGGCTCCTACTGGGTTGCCTGGACTCCTTTGGTGCTCACATGCCAGCTGTGTCTGGCCTCCCAGGTACGAGAGTGTGATCGCCACACTGTGTGAGAACCTGGACTCCCTGGATGAGCCTGAGGCCCGGGCTGCCATGATCTGGATTGTGGGCGAGTACGCCGAGCGTATCGACAATGCCGACGAGCTGCTGGAGAGCTTCCTTGAGGGCTTCCATGATGAGAGCACACAGGTGAGCCGACTCGGGCCAGGGCTTGAGTCATGACTGGCAGCTTGACCCCACTGTGGTCCATCCTGCCCTGGAACCCTCCCCTCCTAATACTGCATTGAGGACAGACAATTGAGTGATGCATGGGTGATAGTCATGGCCCCTTTCCCTCCTCCACTGCGGCACCTCAAGGGGACACGTGGGACAGTCTCTGGTAGCGTGCATGGAAGCCAGGCAGAAGTTTCTGGTTTTGTTTTAATTTTATATTTATATTCCAATAGGTAGTACATTGACTCAGTTCAAAATTGAAAAGATACAAAAGGACGTATAGTGAAAAGTCTCCCTCCTCAGACTCTTCCGGCCACCAGTTCTTCTCCCAGAGGTCACCAATGTTCTTGTTTTCTTGGAGAGACTTCCAGAGATCAGTTAGGAATACACTAACAGATACACACACACACACACACACACACACACACACATACAAATATACACACACATATGCAGTCAATTCTCATTGTTCATGGTACTTTTGTCCCATAGTCACCACAAATGCTGAATTAGCAAGTATCAGTACTTCTAATACCATTGCTTCTAGGAGAAATACCAAGTTATGTTTCTGTAAGCATCTGGGTACACATTTTTGTCAACCAATCAACTTATAACCTTGTTTTTTGTGTGTTTTTGCTTAACGACACCCTATTTAATATGTATTGTTGATTTGTTAACATCGGACTAATGGCCGATAGCACTATAACTCGTGCCTGAATGAAGTTTATCTAGCACATGTATTTTCTCCGTAAGGCACATCACAGCCTTCTTATGCTTAGGAACATTAGACAGTACTTCAACACTGTACTTCGGGACCATTTTAAACAAAGAAATCATCAACAAAAAACTCAAAAATGTGAAAAACATGACACTAAATAGACTGCAGAAAGGACACTTGTTTACAGTATGAGAAGTGAAACAAGAAGGCAGAGAGAGCGCTGCCTTGTTCAACCTCAGCTGGGAACGTGTGTGTCAGGTGACTCAAGGTTTTCCCCACTCTGCACATGTCTGCAAATGACCACAAAAGCCCAAAGTGTTGATCTGGGGGCTACAAGTACATTTTAGCAAGTAGGATTCACAAATATGGACTCCACAAATAAGGAGGGTCAACTATATATATGTAATATGTCTTTTTCTCTTATTTATTTTAAGCACTACTGATAGCATACTATGCAAATTCACATTGTTCAGCACCTTGCCTTTTTCCCTTACAAATATATCTGAAGGTCATACTGTTATTAATTTATGCTTTATTTAACAAGCTTCTGCTGATGGATGTTTACATGTCCAGTCTTGTGCTCTTTTAAACAGTACTGCTATGAATAACCTGTTTAACACACATCTGCAAGTATATCTGGAGGATAAATTTGTAGCAGCAGAATGCTTAGTCAGGGGTCCTCAAAATTTCTAAACAGGGGGCCAGTTCACTGTTCCTCAGACCGTTGGAGAATGCGCACTGTGGGCCCGGGACGAGTTGGCTGCTAAGCAGGACAGGCAGTGGCGGCAAAAATACCTGGAGGGCCAGATAAATGTGCTAGGCGGCCCATATGTGGCCCGTGGGCCGTAGTTTGAGGATGCCTGGCTTAGATGAAAGCGTGTGCCTTGGAGAGCTTGGTAGCTGTTGCCGATTTCCCTAGGTGTAGAGATTGTGCTGACTTGCACTTCTAGCGTAGGTAGTAGGTTGCCCTTGCCCCCTCACCAGCCTAGTGCATCCTCATACTTTGTTTTTGCCAAGCTAAGAGATAGCAAGGGGTTTCGTTTGTATTTCTGTTATGAATGAGGTTGAACATCTTGTCACTTGTATTCCCTTTTCTCTGGGAACTATCAGTCTGTGAGCATAGAAGCCTGAGTTGCCCAACTGGGACAGTGTAACCACAGTGGATTTGAGTATGGGCCTTGGAGTGGGAGATCCCAGAATCCACACCCCTCTTCTACTTCTTCCTGGCTTGGTGACTTCATGCTTATCTATTTACCTCTGTGAACCTCAGTTTCCTTATTTATAAAATGAAAATCAGGCCGGGCGCGATAGCTCACGCCTGTAATCCTAACACTCTGGGAGGCCGAAGCAGGCGGATTGCTCGAGGTCAGGAGTTCAAAACCAGCCTGAGCAAGAGCAAGACCCGGTCTCTACTATAAATAGAAAGAAATTAATTGACCAACTAATACATATAGAAAAAATTAGCCGGGCATGGTGGCACATGCCTATAGTCCCAGGAAGGAGGCTGAGGCAGCAGTATTGCTTGAGCCTAGGAGTTTCAGGTTGCTGACACCACGGCACTCACTCTAGCCCGGGCAACAAAGCGAGACTCTGTCTCAAAAAAAAAAAAAAGAAAAGAAAATCAGTAAGACTTCCCTTCATCTTGTTGTGTAATGCTGGGATGCTTTGTGTAATGTCCTTAATACATACCCAGCCCAAAATAAACACTCCTTCTTGGCAGTATTTGTTTGGGTCAAACTTAGTTTCAAAAGCAAGCAAGCCTGTGGTGACACACATGTGCAATCCCAGCCACTTGGGAGTCTGAGGCAGGGGGATCCCTTGAGCCCAGGAATTCAAGTCCAGCTTGGATGACATAGTGAGACCCTGTCTCTTTAAAAAAAAAAAAAAGGGTACTGAGAAGCAAACTGGCCAAAAAGGGGTTCATGTAGCTGGCAAGTCCAGGCAGCGTGCCCTCTTCCAGCACTCCTGGCTGAGGGTGGCATCGGGGCTGTCTCTTTAACCCTGTGGTGGCTTCTGTCTTGGGTAGGCTCCCAAGAGTGGGGACCACAAGGGCTGAACAGTTCCAGGCTACCTCCTTACAGCTTCACAACCCCCATGGAAAGACTTTTTCCCCTCAGTAGTTCCAGCAAAAGTCCCAGGACTATCTATACAGATAATACTCTGTATTATCCTGAGCCAGTCACTATGGCTCTGATTGGCCAGGTCTCCCAGGTGCTGATCCCGGCCTGTGTGGATTGAAAGGGACAGAGAAGGGCGAGTCTCTGGAGCAAAGCCAGTGTTCTGTTCCCAGAAGACGGAATAGATGCTGGGTGAGCAAAACAACAGAACAGATGTCCATCACAATATCATAGTAATAATTCCCACCGTCACCCTCTCCCACTGCATCTGCCTCCAGGTTGCCTTCACTTCCAACACCGGCCTCTTCTCCCTTGTCTCTGAGAAGCAAAGCCCAGTCTGTGATGGCATCTGCCCCTGGGATCAAGTCCTGCTGGGGGTTACTGTGAGGATGTCCTGTAGGGGTGCGTTTCTGCCCATGTATTACAGTCCATCTTTTGCATCCTCTGCCTGCTCAGCTAAGCCGCTAAAGAGCTGGGATGAGAGAATCTGCACAGGGAGAACTGAGCCAAGAGTCTGGTGTCATGAAAAAAAAAAAAAACACAGGCTCTGAAGTTTTGAATCCAGGCTCCTCCCGTTTTGTGCCCTGGAGCATGTTACTTAAACTTGCCAAACCTGTTTCCTAGTCTCTAGTACCGGGTTACTGCAAAGACTATTAGATGCTGAATGTAAAGTGCCCACTCCAGAACTCAGTAAACAATAGCTGGGTGGTGATGGTGTTTTAATTGAGTAGCCTATTTTAAGAGTACTTGTTTAGGCAGTGGCTCACGCCTGTAATCCTAGCACTCTGGGAGGCCGAGGTGGTAGGATCGCTCAAGGTCTGGAGTTTGAAATCAGCCTGAGCAAGAGCGAGACCCTGTCTGGGGTCTGGGGTCTGGAGTTTGAAACCAGCCTGAGCAAGAGCGAGACCCTGTCTGGGGTTTTATATATATATATATAAATAAAATTAGTGTCGCCTGTAGTCCCAGCTACTCGGGAGGCTGAGGCAGGAGGATTGCTTGAGCCCAGGAGTTGGAGGTTGCTGTGAGCTAGGCTGACTCCACGGCACTCTAGCCCAGGCAACAGAGTGAGACTCTGTCTCAAAAAAAAAAAAAGAGTACTTGTTTAGTGTTTGACAATTTGCAACTCATTTTAGATCGTCTCTTGGAACCTCCTCATCCTTGGCTTCTTGGCCTCTCTAGCCATGGACAGGGAGCTCAGGGAGCTCAGAAAGTCTTGCCAGGGTAGTGCCTCAGCCCGGTCCACATCTTGCCCCTGTCTTGCCATCCCATCCTGTCTGGATGGCAGGGACTGCGGCATCATTGCATGAGAGCTGCCTTGTATATGCAGACCAACGGGGTGTCAGCGTGTTGTGGGAGCTGGGCAGGTTACTGAGCCAGGGGCCCCCGGCTCGTGGCCAGAGCAGCCTCTGGCAGTAGAGCACAAGGCGTACCTCCGGGAAGCACAGCAGATCTGATGGTGATGAATAATCTAGGCAGCCCACTGACTGGGTTGGGGAGAGTCCCTGTGTGATGGTGTTGGTGGTGACTGCCGGGATGACAGCTGTTATGCAGTGAGCAGAATACACAATAGCTTTTTCACATTTGTTGTCTCCTTGACTCTTCCCATTAACCCTATGAGGTGTTATCCCCATTTTATAGATGAGAAAACTGACTCAGAAAAGTTAAATGACTTGTCCAGGATCACCCACCTGGGAAGTGATAGGACCAGAGTTCCAATGAGGTACGATCTGAATCTAGCTCCAAGTAAGCTGCCATAAGTTGCCATTTTGAAAGCCTGAAAACCTCTCCTTCACAGATTAGGAGTAAATGGCTTCCCACAGCTGCCCAGCCAGGGGCTGGAACCAGGTTTGGAAGCCAGATACTGGGTTGCCTCCTGCCTTAGAAACAGCCAGCCCACTGCTCCTCTGCCACTGGCCCACGTGTAACCAAATTGCAGAGACCCAGGATCAATTAATTGCAGAAACAGACCACCTCTCCTCCACTCTGCCTCCCGCGGTCAGCCTGCCCTGCACAGGAGCCCTCCTGTTGGACAGCCCCGGGACATGCTGCCAGCACCGCCGCTGCTGAGCTTCCTGCACACACCCACCCTGCAATCCTCCTGCCGCACGCCTGTCCCTGGCACAGCCTGTAGGCTCCTGGCGCTGCCCTGGCTCCACAGGCATATGCTGTCCTCTTGTCCTAGGACTGGCAAAAATGAGAGTATGGCTAAGGAAGACTGTGCGCAAAGAATTGTTTTCACATGGATGTTTTTTCAGTGAGCAAGTATTTCTTAAGGACCCACTATGCACTAGGCACTAGATTGAGCAGTAACTAGTGAGACAGCAGTGAGCAAGGCAGACATAGTCCCTGCCCACGGGGAACCACTGCCACAGGACAGCCAGCAGCTGGGGGTGCCGATGAGGATGGTGGAGGAGGTTGCAAAATTATGGGGGCTGAGCCAGGGGGTCAGCAGAAGAGCTGAAGGGTGAGGAAGTGTTGGCCAGGCTGCAGGAACAGGAGGCATGTCCGGGTGAACAGTGGGGACTGCTGGAAGGCCAGGCAGGGGTGGTTCCCACCCTGTGGAAGAAGTGTAGCTCCTAGATGGTAAGCTGGCTCTGTGGGCTGTGCTGGCATTGTTGTCACTCGTGGACAGATGGTCCCTTAAAGAAGCAAGCGCATGGGAGCTTCTCATGGTGCTATGGGGCTTAGAGCTCTGACAGGTTTCTAGGACCCTAGGGCTGGGCAGCAGCCCCCAGCCTGCCTGGGTTTGTTCCTTCCTGAGTGAGTAATGCCAAGGGCTGGGCCGCCCAGCAGCACCAACACCCCCTGCTGGCCTTAGCATGTGTGCCATGGCTAACCCCAAACCTAGAAGAGCTGTTCTTGGCTTCAAGGTTCTTTGAACACCCTTTTCCTCTTCAAGCCCTCATTTGGTTTCCCATTATCCCTGTGTGAAGCCAACACACTTCCTCCTTGGAACCTGTCTCCCTGCAGGTCCAGCTGCAGCTGCTGACAGCCATTGTGAAACTCTTTCTGAAGAAGCCAACAGAGACCCAGGAGCTCGTGCAGCAGGTCCTCAGTTTGGCCACTCAGGTGCGTGCTCCAGCCTCTGTGCTGTGCCTGGCACAGCCTTCACTCCAGCAGGGGGAGCTTTGGCCCAAGGATTCAGACATGGAAGCCAGTCCCACCCCTAAGACTGGCATCTCTGGGGGTTTGGCCCCAGAGTAACTGAAGTTCCCTGTCTTTAGGGAGCTCAGAGTCACAAATAAAAACAGAGTGGGGTTAGTGGTAAAGTTGAGACAGACTAGGTGAGAGACAAGGGGGAGGTTTGTGGGAACCAGAGGGTTTGCATGGACAAGGAGGGCAGGCCATGGAGGGCAATCGGGATTGGAGACAGGAGCGGACGTGGCCTGCCTGAGCAAGCCTAGGATAGAACACCATGGGAAGTGAGCCCCGATGCTGGGATGGTTTTATTTAAGTGGTCTAGGGACAGGCTTATGGAGTGAGCATTGCTGTCATCAGCCAGTCCTGTGACCACACTAGATCATGGGGCTGTGGGAGGGTCCCCTCTCTTCACCTTCACCCAATTGCTCTGCTCTGAGTTTCATGTGTTTCTCATCACTGTCCCGCCCCTACCTTCAGGACTCGGATAACCCAGACCTGCGGGATCGGGGCTACATCTACTGGCGCCTGCTCTCCACAGACCCAGTGGCAGCCAAGGAGGTGGTGTTGGCTGAGAAGCCGCTCATCTCGGAAGAGACAGACCTCATCGAGCCCACGCTGCTAGACGAACTCATCTGCTACATCGGCACACTGGCCTCCGTCTACCATAAGCCACCCAGCGCCTTTGTGGAGGGGGGCCGGGGCGTTGTGCACAAGAGCCTGCCACCCCGCACTGCCTCGTGAGTGAAATCAGCCAGTCGTGGGCCTGAGCCTCTGCCCCTGCTTCCCACGTAGGCCTGGTGTGATGTGCCCTGGCAAGGCCTGAGTCTAAGGGAAACTATGATTCTAGAACCTTTTATCAAATGCTTATTACTATACACAAGATGTTTCCATGACGTCATTTGATCCTTATAGCAGCTCTGAGAGAAAATGTCCCCATTTGACAGATGGGGACAATAGGCACAGACAGTCTGAATGACTGTTCTAGAATCCCACAGCTAGCAGGGCTGGGACTCAGCCTTGCTTCTGTCTTTTTCCAGAGCCCCGTTCTTAACTTTGTCCTCTGCCACTCCCAAGTGGCTGGTCTGGCCTGGTGGCATAGTCCCCTGGGGACTGGCAACCAGTTTTCTCTTAGCATGGGCCCCTTTCCTTTACTTATCCCCATGGAGCCTAAACGATGGATCAGACATGGGAATGAGGAGGGAGTGGGGTTGTGTAGCTGGCCCTCTCTGGGCCTGCGAAGAAACCCAGTGCTGTTCTGGGGGAGCATCCTGGCATCTGAAGTCTCTCTGACTTTCTAAGACAACCCGACACCCCCACCCTGTTGACCCTCTCCCTTCCGTGTCCTAGCAGGAGCGAGAGCACAGAGAGCCCTGAGACAGCCCCTGCCGGAGCACCCCCTGGCGAGCAGCCGGATGTCATCCCCACCCAGGGTGACCTGCTGGGTGACCTTCTCAACCTGGACCTCGGTCCCCCGGTGAGCGGTCCACCCCTGGCCACCACATCAGTGCAGATGGGAGCTGTGGACCTTCTTGGCGGTGGCCTTGACAGCCTGGTATGTCCTGGAACCCTTCTGGGTGATGTTGGTAATGATCTTCAGAGGAGCCATCATTGAATGCCCCTCTCTATGCCAGACACCAGCCAAGTGCCTCAGGTACACTATGTTGAGTCCTTACCGTCTGCCCTCAAAGGTGGCTTTGTAACTTTGTACTTACATATGACAAACTGAAGCGTAGATGGATCAGACAACCTTCCCTGCAAGACAGCACAGCCACTGAGTGGCACAGATAAGATTCAACCCCCTTGTTGGACCCCTGAGTCCCAGCAGACCTGGGGCATTGGAGGGCCAGTCCCAGCCCCTTCCTCCGACTCTGGCTCCACAGTCATCTTTGCCTGGTGAGGCTAGATGTTCTGGCCTTGAAGAACCAGACCTGTATCTACTTACCTACATGCTACACCAGTTGGGGACAGCAGCCCAGCCAGGCCTATCTGAGAAAGGCCTATGGGAGGTCAGGGAAAGAACTTCCTTCTGCCCTGCAGCGAGGGGAGTGGTGAGACTGCCCTGGGCACTGCCCTGGGCCTTCATCTGGCAGCTGGTAGGGCCAGGTGGCGGGGGAAGCTGGTCCCCAAAGTTCCAGCATGGGGGCAGGAGATAGGTGATAAGTGCCACTAGGGCAAGCGTAGGAAGAGTCGTGGTAGTCACATAGGATGTGAGGGTGGTGGGGTGAAACGGAGGCTGAGTAGAGCCTTTCGCAGAGACAGGGGTCTGGGCCTCTCGTAGGCTGAGGCACAGCCTCATACCAGACTCCTAGCGGGTGGAGCAGCGGTTGACTAATCATTTCCCTCTTTCCCTTTCTCTCTCTTGTCTCTCTCTGTCTTCTTTCCTGGCCTTCTCTCTGCATGTTGCTGCCTGTTCTCTTCACCCTGCCTGCTTCTGCTTGGAGATGGGGGATGAGCCTGAAGGGGTACGGTTCAACCCCATGTCACCAAACCTTCTTCGTGCCTGCCCCTCCCGAAAGCACTGGTCCAGCGTCCCATGAGGCAGATGAAGTCAAATCAGTCCCTCCCTGCTGAGCCATGGTCCTTGGTCCAGTGTCTTGGCAGCCTCTGCTTTGACCACTAGGCATCCAGCTGCCCCTGGGCCCCCACATCCATGAATTCTTTGCCTTGTCCTCATCACCCCATGACACGTTGCCTTGTCATTCTGAGGATTGCTGGCCCTCTTTAGTCCCCAGGGGCCCTCTCTAACATTCTAGACGGAAAACTTCCATCTGCTAGCACGTCCCCACCTAGCAGCATGTCTTGAGTCCCCATTTTATCCATGGGCTAATTGCTAGTTTAGGAGTGTCCCCAGCCCTTTCTCGGAGGTCACTCCCTAAGGCTCAAGGCTTGCAGTGCGCAGGAGGACTCAGCCTCTCTTCTCCCCACCTCCCTGTCTCCTTTCTACAACTCAGAGTTGATGTGGAGGCTGTGTCCCACCCCTGCCCCCCACTGTTTTCTAAAGAGCCAGGTGGCTCTGCTCATGCCGGGCCTCCGATGCCTGCCTCTGATGCTTTCCCTTCCTTTCCAGATTGGGGGCCCCAACTTTGTGGCACCCCCAGCAGCAGCAGTACCAGCCAGCCTAGGAGCACCCATCGGCAGTGGCCTGAGTGACCTCTTTGACCTAACCAGTGGTGTGGGCACCCTGTCAGGATCATACGTGGCCCCTAAAGCAGTAAGTGGCTCCCCTTCTTTCTTGACAGGAGCAGAGAGGCTGTAGAGTGATGTGTGGGCCCTGGTGCTGTGCCTCAGGCCAGTATTGATGAGGGGAACTGGGGCCATGGGATTGCCGAGGAGAAGGGGCTGAGTCAGGCTTGGCAGGGGCCCCAGGAAGGCTTCCCCGTGGAGGGGTCTTAGGAGCACGGGCCTGCAAAACAAGTCAGGAGAGAGAAAGCCAAAGAAACGGCCTATGGCAAGGTCTGGAGGGGACAGAGAGCCCTCCTCTGTCAGGGAATCGGCAGAGGGCTGGTCCAGTAGGAGCCGTGGTTTTTAGTGTGTCAGATCCAGCGCCTTAGTTAGAACAGACGTTTTACAATGTCCCTGTTCCTCTCCTTAAATGGTATTGGTGACTGTGTAACCTACCTACACATTTAATTTCAAAAATAATCAGATGCTTAGCCAGGCATGGTGGTGAGCACCTGTAGTCCCAGCTACTCGGGAGGCTGAGGCAGGAGGATTGCTTGAGCCTGGGATTTGAAGGTTGCAGTGAGCTATGATCAATGCCTCTATACTCCAGCCTGAGTGACAGAGACCCTGTCTCAAAAAATAACAAATATTTTTAAAAATGAAATGTTTCTACTGCATGAAGGAGACATAAAAGAAAGAGAATACAAGAATATGTTTAAATGTCATAAATGCTTGGTCACACCCACCTGGCCACCTCAGGAGACATATGATGAAGTTGCCAGTGTTTGCAGCAGGCAGAGAGTCACCGTGACTGTGACAGCTGCAGATGGTGTTGGTAGCTCGGGAGCGTGCATGGTGTGGCCGGTGGTGCCATTATTCTCTGAAGTGGTAGCTACTCCCAGTAAAGTTCTGAACAAGACAGACAGGGTCCCTTGATTTCCATGATAGTTGTGCCCCAGGAAATATTAGGGCATATTGAAACCATGCAGAAAATACTCAAAAGGATGCAGGACAGTTGCTCATTGCGGGGACTGTTGTCTCCATGGCAGAAACTTCAGCATCCCTGACTCTGGCCCACTAAGCTGGCACCCCCACATTGTACCACCTGAAGATGCCCCACAGATGCCCACGGTGCCACCTAGGGCGGTACCACCCCCGAGACTCCTGGCTAGACTAGAGATTAGCGGGGGAGGAAGCTGGCGAGGTTGGCAGGGCCAGGCTGAGCTGTTTGCTCTTGATCCTGGCACAGAGGGAACCGTTGGAAGGTTTTAAGCAGAGGGATGAAACGGTCCAATTTGCACTTTAGAGAGACGGCTCTGGCTGCAGGAAGGGGTAGAGGGAGAATTCTGTGGCAAGGACAGATGAGCGCTGCTGTGGCCTGGGCGAGGACCTGAGAGCTCCCTGGGAGGGAGCAACAGCAGGATGTAGGGGTAGGGATGGGGGAGCAATGGGGCCAGAGGAGATGCTGGGTTGGGGGCACAGGAGTGGATAGGGCTGAGGGAAGGAGAGCTTATTTTAGGGTGAGAGAAGTACAGGCCTGGCACTAGGGAGAGCTCAGTGTGGGCTGCATCATCAGCGTCAAGGAGGCTGCCAGAGGGGACACACCTGGCCTGATTCTCTCACAAAACTCGGATAGGAAGCCATGTCTGCCAGAGCCCCTCTCTCCTCTCAGGTTCCCTCCCCAGAGCAGGACACAGCTGGGCTTCAGGGGCATGGTAACATCTCTGTCGTGACCAGGGAGCCGTGAGCCAGTACCTGGCCTTCCCTGCAGTGTGCCCGCTGCACCTGCAGTGGTAGTGGCTGGAAGCCCCTCCCGCAGCAGACAGCAACTCTGTTACTAGCAGCTGCACACATACATGCCAGGCCACGAGCATTCCACAGCCACCATCCCACTGGATCCATGCAGCGGCCTCATGCTGCTCGTTCCCATTTTGCAGTTGAGAAATCTGAGTGCTTTTGCCTAAGGTCATGTAGCTGGTAAGTGACAGAAGCTAGAATTGAATGCAGGGCTTTGCTTTGGCACCAAACCTCTGCTCCCAACTCCTGTGTGACTATGGCCCCAAAGTGTTTTAGAACCACCTGTGCGCCTGCCTTCATGTGGTGGAGTGTCAGAATGAGCAGGACCGCAGAGAACACAGGACACGTGGCATGATGCACAGCATGCTCAGCTGATGAGTCGCTGTGTGGATTGGCTGCACCGAGGCATGAGACTGACCTGTACCTGTTAAAAGCCCAATGTCACAGACTTCAGGCAGGACTGAGCGACACAAGAACAGCCCATAAATGGCAATATTATAGGATAAAGGAAAAAAAAAAAAAATAATAAATAAATAAATAAATAAAGAACAGCCGAGACTCCCACAGCCCCATGAGTGCCAGCCCTCGCCAGGCACTGCAGAGCTACCAGGAATGTAAGGCCTGGAGCTGGCCTTTGGCAAGCTGGCCCTCTGCTTGTGTGTGCGTTCTAACAGGTGTTCTCACTGCTTTGTCTTAGGAGGGCCTGTGAGTGTTCTGGACTGAGTGCTGGAAAGGAGCGGCAAGGAGCTCACTATGTCAGGAGTGATCAGGGCAGGCTGCCTGGAGGAGGAGTCCTTGCAACGTGGGCAGGACTTTCCTCACTATCGTACGCACCAGGGGGTTCTAGGATGTGGGCATGCTCTCCCTTCAAAAGCAATAAATAGGCCGGGCGCGGTGGCTCACGCCTGTAATCCTAGCTCTCTGGGAGGCCGAGGTGGGCGGATTGCTCAAGGTCAGGAGTTCAAAACCAGCCTGAGCAAGAGCGAGACCCCGTCTCTACTATAAATAGAAACAAATTAATTGGCCAACTGATATGTATATAAAAAATTAGCCGGGCATGGTGGCGCATGCCTGTAGTCCCAGCTACTCGGGAGGCTGAGGCAGAAGGATCGCTGGAGCCCAGGAGTGTGAGGTTGCTGTGAGCTAGGCTGATGCCACGGCACTCACTCTAGCCTGGACAACAAAGCGAGACTCTGTCTCAAAAAAAAAAAAAAAAAAAAAAAAAAAAAGCAATAAATATTTCTCCAGAAATGTGAGCTCTAAGAAAAGAAAAAATAGGGGAAAGTAGCAGGAGGTAGGTCATCTGTATTTTCCTAACAGCCCTGTGACTACCTAGAATTATCTGTCATTCTCCAACCCCCTTGGTCAAGGGGACAAGGCTCAAGTTCCTCAAGCATTTGAGTCAGTGGGTAGTGACAGTTCACTGGTCCACTAGTAAATATTGAGAATTAGTTATATTAGGACCTGTGCTAAACTCCACAAACCCATGGTGACCAAGAGCAATGAAGTCCCCATCCTCAGCCATGGGTGGCTAAGAGAGGGCCAGGCGAAAGGAGGCCTGATGAGGAGGGCTCGGGCAGTGTTTGTGAGAGAGCTGTGCCCAAGGTCAGGTTCAGCAGCCCTCTGCGTGCTTACTGCACGCCAGCTCACAGCTGAGAACTAAAGCCAGGCGATTTCTGCCCTCTCAGATGCGTCCAGGGGATGCGAAGGGTGCTGAGGGGTAGCCAAGTAGGGTGGCGAAGGGGCGGGGAAGTGCTTTCCAAGCAGAGGGAACAGTGATGTGAGGTCCCGGGGTTGGGGGCAGGGGCAGGCTGGGTCTGGGTAGGGGTGGGAATCAGGCTGTGGAACCAGGGCCAGTGGAGGTCACTGCAGGATTGGAAGGGGTTTCTCAGAGTGCCATGGTCAGATTGCACAAGTCATTTCACAAGATGACTTTAGCTGCTATGGGAGGAGGGGAGAAGAAATGGGGCAGTCACCTGGGCAGCTGCTGTCATACCTGGGGAAGTCTGGTGGTTGCTCAGACACCAGTGGCACATGTGGAGATGGAGAGAAGTGGAGGCCATGGGGGCAGGTGTAGGAGGTGGCCTTGACATGATGGGACTTGGGCTGCCTCTCTGTGGCATGGTGGCAGGGTGGGGCTAGGGCTGGTGCCTACTGGCTCTGTGGTTCCTGACACTGACAACTTGAGAGATGGTGGGACTTTCTTTGACAGCAGGTGTACTTTGGGAAGCTGTCAGGTGGGACATGAGCCTTTTGATCCCGAGGGGCCTATGAGCTGTCCAAGCGAGAATCACGGCCTAAGAGTTGTTTGCGTGTCCATGGGATGACGCTGGTAGATGTCCTTGGTGGGCAGGGCTGTAACTCACGCTGTGTACTCAGCAAACACTCCTGAATCCCGGCTCCATGCAGGCTCCCAGCCAAGGATGTGACAACAGAGAAGCAGAGCCCTTCCCTTGGCGAGCTCGCTGGGCACAGGGGAGACAGACACGGAGTGACCTGCCTTACATTCACACCCGGCTCACTGGGGTGCAGATTTGGGGAAGGAGCCTTCGTCAGGCTTCCCAGAGGAGGTGGCTCTTGAGCTGAGACCCAAACAACAAGGGCAGCCAAGCAGCAGAGGGCCTGCCAGCCTCGGGGTCCTCTTAGGTACTGTCCTTGGTCAGACCAGTTTCTACAATTAAAGGCCAGCCCTGCCTCCTGCAAGGGAGGAACAGGCTGTGACAGGCAGGAAGTTCTCGGGCTCTGGCCTGGGTCCAGATGCTGTCGGGCACTCGGCTCTGTCCTTGTTCCGTCTCCTTAGCCCTACTTCCTGAGTGTTTCCTTCATCGACCTCTGAAGACTCACATCAGCCCTTGAGAGCACCAAGCGCCTGCCTATCCCCGGCTGCTCCAAGAAGCAGCCACACCGTGGCGGTGGCCCTAGGTGGGCCACAGGATTGTTCTCCTCGTCCTGATATACATCCCAGTTATCCCCTCATGGTAAAGGCAGGTGTGAACTATCTGGGAGGCCCCTTCGGTGGCTGTTGAGTTAGGGTTGGGAGAAGAGAAACATACCTGCCCTCCCCACCCTCTTCCCGCAGGTCTGGCTCCCAGCCATGAAGGCGAAGGGGCTGGAGATCTCGGGCACCTTCACCCGCCAGGTGGGCTCCATCTCCATGGACCTGCAGCTGACCAACAAGGCACTGCAAGTCATGACCGACTTCGCCATCCAGTTCAACCGCAACAGGTGAGCTGCCTGAGCCCCGCGTGCCGAGAGTCTGTGCTGGTGACTGCAGGTGGGGGCCAAGAGCTGGGATGTTCTCACCACCCCTCAGGCCCAAACCCTAAAGCAGTGGTTTTTCTCCCCAGTGACCCTTTATGGGGACTCCAAAGTGCTAGGCAGAATGGGGACAGCATCTCCCCTTATTTTTGCCTCCACTGTCTAAAGGAGTGTTTTATGAAGGGAAACCCCACACTCCAGCCTTGGAGCCTGCCTCTGACAAGCACCCCACATATCAGAAGGGGCCCGTCCCCCACTGATGGGAGCTCGGGGCCTCGTCTCCCGGGCCCAGGTTGCTCCCATCTTAGGGACCAGCTCTAAGAAGGCTGGTGGGGAGTGGGCCTGCCTGTCAGCCTCCCCTGTGTGACAAAGAATCAGATTGACACAGAGTCTCTGGGAGTGGTGGCTGCTCCAGGCCCCTTACCTCTACCAAGTCCCCTACACTGGTTTCAGTGGGGAAGGTCACCTGTCCCACGCCAGCAGGGCTCTCTGGGGAAGCCTAGCAGCCCTCCTGATGATTCTTCTTCCTGAGCGCTCTAGTGATGAGCAAACTGAGCCTCTAAGAAGTTGACTGAAGGGGTTGCTTCCTCAGGGGGACCCTGTGGGCCTTGCCTGACCAGGAGGCGGGGGTCAGCTCTACCACTTACCTCAGATGACCCTAGTGGCCACAGAAGTGCTCCAGGCTCTTAGGGGTAGTCCCAGTTATTCCTTGGTTGTGCTTAGTAGATGAGGACACCTGGGCTCAGAGAGGGCAAGTGCTTTGCCCAAGGTCACACAGCAGGCAGCGGTGGAGCTCCCAGGAGAGCCTGGAGCACTGAGCCACCAAGCAGGCCTAGGGTTCCCTGAGTGGCCTCCTGCTGCATCCCAAACAGGCCTGATTGGCCTCATGGGCAAAGCACTGGCTGAGAAGGCAGCTCAAGCTGTGATTGTCAGTGCCACTCACTCCACAGGGTCTCAGACTCTGTGTCCTCACCTGGAAGGTGGAATAATGTAAACCTGCCCCTGCTTTTATTAGGATAGAAAGTTGTGTGATATCAAACACCCAATGTGGGCATCCTGAGCACTCAGTTCATAGCCCCAGCCTGTACTCAGTGACTCACCTTTCAAGAGCCTTCGGCTGGGTGTCTCTTGCTGATGCTGAGAGCTTCCTAACCTGCCAGTGTGCTGCCTTACAGGGGAGCGGGGCTTTCCTGAATTTCTGTGGCCATCACGTGACCTGGCCAGTTCTGGCCCAGACAGTAAAACCCAGTATGTCACTTGGGTCAGATCCCTCCTGGAGGATGTGGATTGGCAGCAGAGACTGGGCAGTCCCAGAGCTTTCAAGTTAAAAGGAGCTTATGGGCCAGGCCCCTGTATTAGATGGAGCTCTGTAAGGGCAGGACAGGGCCACTGAGGGGTGGGCAGCGGGGGCCAGGGGCAGGGGGCTGGTGCTTGGGAGCATGTCTGTCTGCTCTAGGCCTGGAGCTTGGGTAGGCTGGCTTAGTGGAAAGGCTCCTTGCCCCAGCTCTGGACCCCAAGGAGCCACCTGTCCTGCCTCAGCACCTCCCCCTGCCATCCCCGCGGGGCTTCTCTCTCCCCAGCTTCGGCCTGGCCCCCGCCGCCCCGCTCCAGGTCCACGCGCCACTCAGCCCCAACCAAACTGTGGAGATCTCCCTGCCTCTCAACACGGTGGGCTCAGTCATGAAGATGGAGCCTCTGAACAACCTCCAGGTGTGTCCCAGACAGGGCTGAGCACCCGGTCCTTGCCCACCCCCAGCCCCAGGGGAGGAGTGGGCTAGAGTGGCCTGGGGCTACTGGCCAGGGTCAGCAGACAGCTGCATCTGTGGAGTCCTGCTCTTGGCCACAAATGTGTCAGGGGGAGGTCCAGGTCAGAGAGGCGACGGCGTGGTTACCAGGGAGGGTCGTGTGAGATCAGGGATGCCCTTCCTGGGGCCTCAGAGGTTGGCGTCAGCACAAGACGCCCAAGGACTGACCAGGACCCCCCATGCCTAGGTGGCCGTGAAGAACAACATTGACGTCTTCTACTTCAGCACCTTATACCCACTGCACATCCTCTTTGTGGAGGATGGGAAGATGGGTGAGTCACGAGGGACCCCCTCGGGTGCCTGGAATGGGGCTGTGGCTGGGGAACTTCGATGATGGCCTTGGTCCAAGTCATCTCTCACTCGCCACAGAGCCCTATGAGGCAGGCTGTGACTAACGAGCAGGCTGTCCAGGGCCACAGGAGGAGGAAGCCATGTGTGGGAAGGAGAGATCTGAGGCCCAGGGTCATTTGGGAACAGCACTGGTGGCCTCCTTTACAGAGCTGAGGGTTTGCGCAGGGAGGCGGGAGGTGCTGTGGGGGAGCTAGTACTTATTCTCAGACCCGTTTCCTGCTGAGTGCTGTTGAGGGGCCACAGGTTTGTCAGGGGCCCATCTCTCTCCCCTGGCCCCTTTCGCGCCCTGCAGACCGGCAAATGTTCCTGGCCACGTGGAAAGATATTCCCAATGAGAATGAAGCCCAGTTCCAGATCAGAGACTGCCCCCTCAATGCAGGTGAGGATGTCTGAGCCCCTGAGGCCATGCCACCCCTCACCTGTACCCAGGGTCCCCATCACTGATGGGCTTTCCACTGGCCGTCTGGCCCCACAGAGGCTGTGAGCAGCAAGCTGCAGAGCAGCAACATCTTCACCATCGCCAAGAGGAACGTGGAGGGCCAGGACATGCTCTACCAGTCCCTGAAACTGACCAACGGCATCTGGGTGCTGGCGGAGCTGCGGATCCAGCCAGGCAACCCCAGCTTCACGGTGAGAGCCCCACACTTGCCCTGCCAGCCCTGAAGCCTCCACCACGCTGTCCTGGGCAGCCACCTGCCTCTGCCTGCCTCCCAGGCCAGGGGGTGGCTCTGGTGGGAAACATTGTGCCAAGGGTCTCTTCAAGCTTGGCATGAATGAGAGTCAGTTCTGTCCCCTGAACAAACCTTTCTAGAAAGCTTCAAACTCAACCCCATCAATTTACCCAGATAAGACACCAAACTGGGTCTCAGAAAAGTGAGTTGAACTAGAAGATTCTATAATATTGGGCCCTATGAAGTGGCACAGTTGGCTGGGGCCCCCGACCAGGAAATGGCACTGCCGGGCCCTGGCCCTGCTCCAGGGCGAGTGCTTGAGTGCCTGGCCTCCTGCCAGCCAACTGCCTTTGAGTCAGACCCGTCAGGAGCTGGTGTCCATGGGCAGGTGGTCATCCTGGAGGCCCGAGCTGCCTCTCTCAGCCCTGGAGAGCCCTATGCTTTGCTTCTCCCTGCACCCCAAGTCTCTGGCAGGCATGGCCCTCCAGACATTGCCTCTCCTGGGCCCCGCCGCAGCGTGGGCACCGTGGTTGGTGGGGGTCTGCGGTGGTGGCTTCGGTGGTGGTAATTTCTGTCTCCCTGTGTTTGGGTGCTGCATGTCCACCTTCCCTGCTGGTGCCCGTGGTGCAGGACTTGGAGGTTAGCAGATTGCTTTTCTCTTCCTCTTTCCCCCTCCACCCGCCCCAGCCATGTCTTGCACTCCCCGTCTCACGGCCTGGCCCCCACGCACTCCAGGTCTCCTGTCTGCACCTTGTCTCTTGCCTTTGCCTCACCCGCTGCTCCCAAAGCCAGGCAGACTCGTGTGCAGGCTGCCGACGCCACACTTTCGGCCAGGTGGCCCTGATCAAGGCGCTGATGCCCCCGCTTGCACATGTCCACAGTGCACAGAGCCCTTCTAGGCAGACCCAGGGGACCCCATGGGGCCACTGCTGCTGACTGCCAGAACTCCATTTCCCCCTTCCTAACTGCACCCTTCAGAACCAGCGATTTGGGGTGGACAGGGTGGGTGGCTTCTCTCTCCACTGCCTGCGTTCTCAAGCGCATACCTCAGAGCGGAGGCAGAGTCTTCAGTGTACCTGCTTCCTACGCAGGAAACTTGGATTAACCCCAGCACCCCTCACCGGCTCTCCCAGCCCTCTATGCCCCTCAGGATTCCCTGTCAGGCGTCGGTCTTGAGGACCCAGACCTCCGAGAGCTGTAGGGGGGCGGGCAGGCCTGCAGGGTGGGGCCAGGTACCCCCCAGCAGCCTCTGGCTCGTGACTCATGCCACTTGCCAGCGGGGCTCTGGTGGCTGTGCTGACAGCAGGTGTGTGGGCTGCAAGTATATTTGGTCCACCCCCTCTGCTGTACCTCACATCTGCCCAGCCTCAGCTGCCACCCAGCCACGTGTGCACACCACCCTCCTCCATCTGGCTCCTGCTCTGTTTTCCCTCCCCTCCCCTCCCCTCCTCTCCAGAGAGGACCCCAGGGATGAGCGCTCTCTTCCCCCAACCCCTCTCCCCCTGCAGCTGTCCCTGAAGTGTCGAGCACCAGAGGTGTCCCAGCACGTGTACCAGGCCTACGAAACCATCCTCAAGAACTGAGGCTCCAGCCAGCGCCCGCCCCAGCCTCCTGCCAGCCCCACTAAGGAGCTCCCGGGGGATGGCGGCACCTCCTTCTCCTCATGGAAGGGCCAGGCGGGGCTCCTGGCCACCCAGGGGGCCCCCTGGTTCTGACTGCAGCACCCACCTGGGTTCTCAGGGCAGGGTGGCACCCCTCCCCGGGGTGCAATCTCAGTGCACTCCTGTGTTCCGGGACACCCCTCTTCCATTGCTGCTGACGTGTGGGGTCAGGTGAGGAGGGGACCAAAGGAAACAGAGCCAGAGCGGCGGCAGAAACCAGTCAGGGAGGCGAGGGTTCTCCTTTCCCTTTCTCCTGTGCTGCAGGATGAGTGTGGAGCTCGCGCCTCAGGCTCCAGCCCCACCGCCTCGCCCCTTATCTCTCTTGGGTTGGTGTTAGGGGTCCCCCACTGCTACCTCGAGTGGGGTAGGTCCTGCCAGGCAGGCCTGGGTATACAGGGAGGGTCCCCTTGGTACCAGCAGAGCTGCTGACAGAGGGGCAGGGCTGAGCTGGGAGGAGCCCAGGGCCTGCACCCCGCTCCTGCATCTACCGGCCTGGTGCCCTGCCGCTGTGCCAGTCCAGCCGCAGCCCCTGAGCACTGCCCTGCATGGTCTAGACCAGGCAGAAGCTCCCAGAGCCTGTCTTCAGGCCCCTGCTCCCCACTCCTGCCTGAGGACTGTCACTGCCTGTGATACATTCCTTGGTGTCGCCCCAGTGAGCCCTGGGCTCCTGGAGCAGACAGGGCCCCGGATGGGGCCGCGGGCGAGTGGGTGTGCTTCCTGTTTGGGGTTTCTTTGGGGTTTCTCGTTAGTATCTGCTGCCCTCTCCCTGGCCTCCCAAGTTTCAGTTGTGTCTGATGGAGCATTAGGTTTTCCTGTTACTGCTGTTTAATAATAAAGAAAGATTCTGCTTTTGGCAATCACGGACACTTTTTTCCCCCTCCACCAAATGTCAGAATTGAAAACTGCCTCCAAGTGGCTGGGGACAGTTTTCTGACTCCTGCAGTAATTATATCTAATATATATACATAGAAAATATATATTGTATGTTTACTCTTATTTTCAAAAAGAGAAAGTGAATAAAAATGATAACATCAAGTGTGTCCCTGGCCAGTGTGTCAGGTCTCGAGGCTCTTCTGGGTGGGGGTCCTGGGCTGCAGGGACCCCAGGGTCAAGGGCTTGAGCTCTGTGCCTAGCTATGGCCCCTCCCCTGTCACTGTGAGGACAACGCTTTCCCTCCATCCTCTCCTTGGAAAACTGACTCCTGGGGCCTGGTGTCCCTGGCACGTCTCCCACCATCAATCCTGACTCCCCAGCTGAACTGTCTTGGCTTTTGATGCTGGCCAGAGGGCTGGTGTTCCCCTGACTCAGCTCCCAGGAGGCTCCTGAGAGTGGAGGGAGATGCTCTGATGGGAGAGGGGGTGGGCGTGATGTGGGCCATCCACCACTGAGGACACCCCTGGTGGCCCCGGTCCTGGTGCTGGCCTGGCTTCCAAGGGAGGGCAGCCAGATCCCAGGCAGGGCCCCATCGGTACAGCTGCCTCCTGGCTGATGGGGCCTCAGCCCACTTCTGTGGGGGCTGCTTCTGCCTGCCCTAACCCCTTGTACCCCCGCACCCCACCCACCTCAGACTCCGCTGCTTTGCCAGCTGGGCAGAGATGGCTGCCACTCTTGCTGGGCATCAGCAGGGGCACCTGGCCTTCCACTGCTCACCTCTGACCCCCTCGGTGTCACTGAGCTGCCCTGGGGACCATTGAGGCCAAGGCCTTTGATTGCACAGCCCTAGTTCTTCCCTCCCCTGAAAGTCCCAGCACAAACACAGCTAGCATCCCTGTCCTGTGGAACTAGAGGAGCAAGGTGGTGAGCCCTTGAGAGAGGCTGTCACCCTGGGCTGTGTTGTCCCCTGCCTCCCCTGACCCAAATGCCCTGAGTCACTGGCCCTGCAGCCTGCTGGCTCAATTAGCAGGACCTCAGCACTTCGTGTCCCCACCCTTCCACCGCAAGGCCAGGAGAATGCACGTGCAGGATGGCTGTCCCCACTGGAGGCCCAGGACAAACCACCTGGGGTGAGGAGAGCTGAGGAGAAAGGTGGGCTGCCTGTTTCGACAGAGGGCCTTGGACTGTCCCTGGACACCTCCTTGGGTTCACCCTCCTGCTTCAGTCTATGCTTGTGCCTCAGGTGAGTGTGGGCAGGGCCTAGCCGTGCTTGTGCCCATCTTTCACCCAAATAGTGCCTGGCATAATGGAGCACATGGGGAAACTGAGGCAGAGGGCCTCACACTCCCACTTCCCAGTATCACTGCATCAGGAAAACAAGCATGCAGGGCTGCCCTTTGGGACCCAGGCCTTTAGGAAAAGTGCTTTCGGGGGTATCCGATCTGTGCCCAACTCTGCCCTTCAGCTTCTCTGTCCCTCGCTCTCACATGTCACTGCTGGGTCCTGATGTGCTTCTGCCTCCCCGCAGGCCTTGGCAGCCCGCAGCCCGGAGCTGCCTGGCTCTCCTTGAGCCACCCGAGCCAGTCGGGAAATTCAACAATAGCAACCAGTTATGTCTGCAGGGTCCAATAAATACCTGAGGACCTTGTTTGACACTTTTTAATCATTGACTAGTGGTTTGCATTTGTTTTTTAAAAAATGAATGATTCAGGTGTTTGTTTTTACAGGAAACGTGGTTCAAGACCGTGGTGAGATCCCCCTCCTCCTCCTACCTCTTCCTACTTAGTTTTCCTCCCTGAAGCAGACGTTGCTTGATTTTGGTTTCTTGCAGGGATCTTCTGTGCATGAGTATAAGCAAATCCATGTAAACAATTGCAGCACTCCTAGACACTGCCACCCGTTTCTTCTCTGACCTAACAGTTATTTCGGGAGCTCTTTCCCTATGGGTACAAATAGACCCCCTTGGGAATCCTTGTGTGGAGGGGCCACCATTAGCCAGTCCCTGCGATGCACACTCAGGCTGTTTCTGTCATCTGTGGCCCAGGCAAGGCTGCAGTGAACATTGCTACATCCATCCATGCTCATGGGCACAAATGTACCTGTAGGATCTGGCCCCAGAAGGCATAACCAGTATACACATTACGTTTTATTAACAGTTGTTTTGAAAAAAATAATACATTCATATGGTTCAAAATGGAAATGGGAAAAAAAGAAGTAAAAAATCTATACCTTCCCCTCATTCCTCTCCCCAAAGGAAACCATTGGAACTGTCCAAAGATGCTCAACATTGTCTAATGTGGTATTTTCCCTTTTTATACACAAATCATAGCATGGAATACACATTTATATTTTTTTATAATATATCTCTGTGTTTATATCTCAGAGGCTTTTCCATTACTAGCCCACTTACACTGTCCTCATGCCTTTTTTTTTTTTTTCGAGACACAGTCTTGCTTTGTTTGTTGCCCAGGCTAGAGTGTGTGCCGTGGCATCAGCCTAGCTCACAGCAACCTCAAACTCCTGGGCTCAAGCAATCCTTCTGCCTCAGCCTCCCGAGTAACTGGGACTACAGGCATGCACCACCATGCCCGGCTAATTTTTTCTATATATATTAGTTGGCCAATTAATTTCTTTCTATTTATAGTAGAGATGGGGGTCTCGCTCTTGCTCAGGCTGGTTTCGAACTCCTGATCTCAAGCAATCCATCCGCCTCAGCCTCCCAGAATGCTAGGATTACAGGCGTGAGCCACCGTGCCTGGCCTTGAAATTGTTTTTAATATAATTTTCTCTTACTCTTTTCTTTCTAGTAGTTGTCTGATCTTAAGCTTTTGCATTTCAATCCTCTTCCATCTGGGCTTTATGTAGGAGTCAGGTAGGGATCCAACTTCCCCTTCTCCCCAGATGGTTCCCCAGTTGTCTCCACACCATTATTGAATAATTTATCTTTTCTCCACAGATTTAAAATGCCATTTTTATCATATACTAAAGTTTTCACATATATTTGGGTGTTTTCCTGGACTCTTTTTTCAAAGACAGAATTTCACTGTGTTGCCCAGGCTGTAGTGCAGTGGTACAATCACAGCTCTCTACAGCCTTGAACTCTTTTTTTTTTTTTTTTTTGAGACAGAGTCTCACTCTGTTGCTTGGGCTAGAGTGCTGTGGCGTCAGCCTAGCTCACAGCAACCTCAAACTCCTGGGCTCAAGCAATCCTCCTGCCTCAGCCTCCCAAGTAGCTGGGACTACAGGCATGCGCCACCATGCCCAGCTAATTTTTTTCTATATATGTATTAGTTGGCCAATTAATTTCTTTTTATTTATAGTAGAGACGGGGTCTCACTCTTGCTCAGGCTGGTTTCGAACTCCTGACCTTGAGCAATCTGCCCGCCTCGGCCTCCCAGAGTGCTAGGATTACAGGCGTGAGCCACCACGCCCGGCCATCCTTGAACTCTTGAACTCCTGGGCTCAAGCAATCCTCCCACCTCAGCCTCCCAAGTAGCTGGGATTACAGGCTCACACCACAACACCCAGCTAATTTCTTTATTTTTTGTGGAGACAGAGTCTTGCTATGTTGCCCAGGCTCGTCTCAAACTGCTGAGCTCAAGTGATCCTCCCGCCTCCACCTCTCAAAGTGCTGGGATTATAGACATGAGCCACCACGCCCGGGCAAGAATTGACATTTTTATAATGATGCCAATAATAATGCTGGGTATTTATATGCAAATACAGGAGTAGGTGCTTTTCCATTGATTCAGGTTTTCTTTTACATCTCTGTAATATTTTAAATTTTCTTCATTTAAAGGTTCTTGCATGTACATTTGTTCTTACATATTCATGAGTATTTTCTATTTTTGGAATCCTTTTGTACATAGGCCCTCTTCCATTCTTTTCCATCTATTTATAATGTAAATATATGTTTATATAAATATATGTGAATATAGAACCAATATATTTATAATTAAATAAATAACAAATTCTATAATATAATTTTTATTGGGTTTTTTTGTTTTGTTTTTGAGACAGAGTCTCACTCTGTTGCTTGGGCTAGAGTGCTGTGGCGTCAGCCTAGCTCACAGCATCCTCAAACTCCTGGGCTCGGCCAGGCGCGTGGCTCACGCTTGTAATCCTAGCACTCTGGGAGGCCGAGGTGGGTGGATTGCTCAAGGTCAGGAGTTCGAAACCAGCCTGAGCAAGAGCGAGACCCCGTCTCTACTATAAATAGAAATAATTGGCCAACTAAAAGTATATAGAAAAAATTAGCCGGGCATGGTGGCGCATGCCACCAGTAGTAATCCCAGCTACTCGGGAGGCTGAGGCAGGAGGATTACTTGAACCCAGGAGTTTGAGGTTGCTGTGAGCTAGGCTGATGCCATGGCACTCTAGCTTGGGCAACAGAGTGAGACTCTGTCTCAAAAAAACCAAAAAATCCTCCTGGGCTCAAGCAATTCTTCTGCCTCAGCATCCCAAGTAGCTGGAACTACAGGCACATGCCACCATGCTTGGCTAATTTTTTCTATATATATTTTTAGTTGTCTGGCTAATTTCTTTCTATTTTTAATAGAGACGGGATCTCGCTCTCACTCAGGCTGGTCTCGAACTCCTGAGCTCAAGCAATCCTGCCTCAGCCTCCCAGAGTGCTAGGGTTATAGGCATGAGCCACCACACCCAGCCAATATACAATTTTTTTTTCATTTTGTATGTCAGGTTTTTTTTTAATTTCAGCATATTATGGGGGTACAAATGTTAATTAAGGTTACGGATACTGCCCTTCCCTCCCCCCTCCCCAATATATAATTTTTAAACTAAATTCCGGTTTAGTTTCTTACTCAGATTTCACTGATTTTTCCACTGGTTTTCCTCCTGTTCCAGAACCCCACAGTCCGTGCAGTCCTCGTGCCTCTTTATGTGTGGGGCAGTATCTCAGACTCTCTTGGTTTTTCATGACCTTGACAGTTTCAGGAGTACTGCTCAGGTGTTCTGTGGACTGTCCCTCAGTTTGGGTTTGTCTGATGTCCCATGATTAGCCTGGGATTATGGGTTTGTAGGAAGAATACCACACAGGTGCCCTCTTGTCACATCATGTCAGGGCTACCTGCTATCAATAGGACTTATCACTGTCAAGTTTGCCTGATCACCTGGCCAAGGTAGCATTTGCAGGTTTCTCCACTGTCGAGTTACTTCCCCTCCTTTCTGTACTCTATTCTTTGGAAGCAAGTTGCTAAGGGCAGCCTACACTCCCAAAAGAGTGTTGAGTGGAGGTACGTGGCTGCAAAAACTACTTGGAATTCTTCTGTAAGGAAGATTTGTTCCGTCTCTCACATGTATTTATTTATTCAATCATTTATATCAGTTTGGACTCATAGATAATTATTTTATAATTTGTGTTTAATCCAATACATTATTTTGTTGCTTAAATTGTTCCAGGTTTGGAGGCCCGGCGCGGTGGCTCACGCCTGTAATCCTAGCACTCTGGGAGGCTGAGGCAGGAGGACTGCTTGAGCTCAGGAGTTTGAGACCAGCCCAAGCAAGACTGAGACCCTGTCTCTACCAAAAAATAGGAAAAAACAAAAAAAACCAGTTGGGCATAGTGGCACACGCCTGTAGTCCCAGCTACTCGGAAGATTGAGGCAGGAGGATCCCTTGAGCCCAGGAGATTGAGGTTGCAGTGAGCTATGATGACACCACTGCACTCTAGCCTAGGGGACAGAGCAAGACTCTGTCTCAGAAAATAAATGAATGAATGAATAAATAAATAAATAAAATTGTTCCAGGTTTGGTCATTGAGAGCTTTTTCTAGTAGGCTCCTCTGTTCCTATGATATTGGTGCTATTTTCTATGCCTTACTTTCTGGCACTATAAGATGCTCCAGGCTCATCTGGTATTTGTCCTGCCCAACCTTAGAATCAGCCACTTCTCTAAGGAGACTGGTTCCTTTTACTGGAGAATGGTATCAGAAATCAAGATCTACAGGTGCTGGATATGTTTGTTGCTACTGAGGTTTCACTTCTTCTAAGCTCTCTCAGTTGGGAGAGCTAGAAAATGCATGTGGGGGCCGGGCGCGGTGGCTCACACCTGTCATCCTAGCACTCTGGGAGGCCGAGGCGGGAGGATTGCTCGAGATCAGGAGTTCGAAACTAGCCTGAGTAAGAGCGAGACCCAGTCTCTACTATAAATAGAAAGAAATTAATTGGTCAACTAATATAGAGGAAAAAATTAGCCGGGCATGGTGGCGCATGCCTGTAGTCCCAGCTACTCAGGAGGCTGAGGCGGGAGGATTGCTTGAGCCCAGGAGTTTGAGGTTGCTGTGAGCTTGGCTGACACCGCGGCACTCACTCTAGCCTGGGCAAAAAAGTGAGACTCTGTCTCCAAAAAAGAAAAGAAAGTCAGGCTCCGGAGCCCAAGGTCCTGAGTTCCAATCTCTGTGCTGCCTCCTTCCTGCTAAACTGTGGCCAAATCACTGCATCCCCCAGGCCTCAGTGAGCACGGGGCTATTGACGCTCGGCACATGGCAGGTCTGTGATAAACGGGACCTATCGTGAGTATCTGCTGCTGGTCTCCTCGGGAATGCGGCACGCCTGTGGAGTTTGCAGGACTTTGTGGGAGCTGGAGGACATGCCCAGTCCACAGTGTCCCCCATCATTCCAGAAACACACACTGGGACGGTGTGATGCCTCGCACACAGCCCTGTTCGTGGCTCCTGAAGAAACACGACCCAAGAAAGGGGCACTGTGTCGGCGAGGGAGGCAGGGAGGGTCTTCAAGAACACCCAGAACTGGCCCCCAAGGGTGGGCAGGAGAGCCCCTAGCAGAAGAGTGCCAAGAAGGAAGGGGGCGCTTTATTTATTCACTTTGCTCCCCAAAGCGATTGAAGCAGCTCACAGAAGCCGGAAAACTTAAAAACCCAGAAGTCTGAGAAGTTTCATTGTGAGAGGGGAAATCAAGTTAAGGGAAAAACGATGGCAGAAAGATGAAGTCAGGGGTCCACGCATACTGAGCTTGAAGACCTGGAACACTAGACAAAGGTCACTCTGAGCTCCCTAGTGGCGGAGGAGTGGAGTGCAGGTGGACCCAGGCCCCTGATCCAGCCTGGGAGGACGCAACCAACCAGTCAGGGTTTCGCTGTTCCTCTCCCGCGGCCACTTCCCAGGGCTGGGGTGGGCATGTTGCCCAAAGAGATGCGAGGGACCCTCCGCTGCAGAAGAGGCAGGGGATGGGGCACAAACCCAGACTTGCTGAGCTGTGTGATGGGCAGGACTTCTCCACTAGCTCCAGGGAGGGGCACTGGGCACTGGAGAATGATCTGGAGGCTGCACCCCTTTGAGGGAAGCTACAGGTAGAGACTCGGGCAGGAAGCATGGCCTCAGCCGTGTTGGAGGTAGTGTCTGGTTCTGTCTGTATTTCATCACCTCCAGCCCTGTTGGGCCTGGAGGACTCAGTGTATGCTGGGCTTGGCACCCTCTGTCCCCACCTCCCCTGGAGGACGGCCATTTGAAATAGGGTCTAGCGCTGGCCATTTCCCTGTGTGGGCAGGAGGAAGGCGGGAGGGGCCTCGGCGCAGCAGCGGAGACCCGGAGGTTGCAGACCCCACCGCACTTCTAACCTTGGAGATCCCGTCTCGGGCCTCAGTTTCCTCCTCTCTCAAAGGCCCATACCAGGTTGAGGCTGTAGGTTCAAGGATCACGTAGGTCATGCCTTAGTAAAGGGCCCGACACGTTTCTGCCCTCAAGAAACGGCAGAAGCCCCTCGAGGCGGCTGGCTTTGATGAATGGGGAGCAGAGACCCAGCGCAGTGCGCCCAAGGTCACTGCGCTGCCCGGCCCCCCGTCCGAGCCGGGCGGCCAGACTCCAGGGCCGGCCGTGTCGAGAGCCGGCGCTGGGGCCGGCGGGCTTTGCAGGCGCGGACGCGGACGTGGGTGGGAAGGGACTGCTGCTATTTTGGAGCAGGTGAGAGGAGCGCCGAACGGAGGGGGATGGGCCCTCCTCGGGCTCCCTGCCCCCAGTCACCTTCCTACGACCCTTCCCGGGAGGGGCGTCCCGGGGAGGCAGGGGGAGGCGGGAGGGGCAGGCGGGCGGTTACCTCATCGCCGCCTCCGGGAGGCCCGGCCCGCTCGCTCGCGCCGCCGGCTGGGGCGGCGATCCAGGCGCCGGAGCGGGAGAAGGACGGAGGGACTGAGGCTCCGAGAGACAGCGCCGGCCCCGCGCCCCGCGCCGCGGGCGGTCGGACCCCGGGGCCCCGCGCTGCCGGCGGCGCCTGGGCTCGCGCGGCGGGGCGGAGGCTGTGTCTGCGCGCGGCGCGCCGGGCTGCGGCTCCCGAGCCTCGGCCCCCGCCGGAGCTGCTCGTGCGTCGGCCACCCTGTGCCCGCTCGGTGCCTGTCCGCCTCCCGCGCCAGCTCCGTCCTCGGGCCTGGCCCCCCACGGCCGCGGGCGCGCCGGAGGGCGACGAGGAGCGCGGGCGCCGCGGCGCACCGGACCGGGCGCGGGGCGCACGGCGCGGCGCCGGCCCATGAGGCTTCCCGGCGCCGGGAGAGGCAGCGCCGGGCGGCCATGGGGGGCAGCCTGCGGGTGGCCGTTCTGGGCGCCCCGGGTGTGGGCAAGACGGCCATCATCCGCCAGTTCCTGTTCGGTGACTACCCCGAGCGCCACCGGCCCACGGACGGGCCGCGCCTCTACCGGCCCGCAGTGCTGCTCGACGGCGCCGTCTACGACCTGAGCATCCGCGACGGCGACGGCGCTGGCCCCAGCCCGAGCCCCGGGGGTGTCGAGGTAGCGGCTGGAGAAGCGGGCAGGGGCATGTGACGGTGTGAGGTGTGTCTGTTCGGTGCACACGTGCGTGTCCGCGTGGATGGCCCCAGGGCGCCCGACTACGCTCAGGGACTGAAAGATGAATGAGTGTCCTGGTTTCGTGTCTCAGCCCTCCCTCCCTGCAGGCCTGCAGTCGCCCAAGCCATGGGTGGGGAGATTTTGCCAAGTGGCTTTTTCTTCCTCCTGTGGGTGCCTCTGTCTTTGCCTGCCTCCACCGGTGGGTCCGGGTCGGTGCGTGGCGCAGCGTGGCCGCGCCTCCCCAAGGGTGCGGGGTGTGTTTGGGGCCCTGAGCAGAGCCGCAGTGAAGAGACTGGGGCCGGGCACAGGGGTGTGCCTTCTAGGGGAGACATTCTCTGCTCCCTCATTCCTGTGCCCTGGAGCAAACACCTGTTCAGTAATTTGTGCAAAGTCCAGGACAGACGCCCAATCCTAGGAGCTGAATGCCACCGAGAGGCGAAGAGGAAAGGAGCAGGCAGGATTAAGCAGCGCTTCCTGGCGGGGGTGGCATTTAAGCTGAACCTGGAACTAATTTACTGAGTGAATTTTTCGGTAAAACAAGTGGCAAGAATCATTTCTGGTGGAAAGACCAGCAGGTGCTTAGGCCTGGGGCATAACCGTGAATAGCTGGCGACAATCGGTGGTCTCTGGGGCGTGGTGGATCGCGGGGCTCCAGCTGAGGGCTTTGGAATTAGTTTTAGAGGCAATATAACCAGGAGGGCGTCTGGGGAGGAGAATGGCCTGAGCCCAGTTGAGCTGGGAAAAGCTGGAAGAAAGACGAAGATGGGGGTGCCGAGAGGAGAGTAAGGGTGAATGAGGGTGCCCAACGGGTTCCAGGCACGGTTTGGAGATTTTTGCCCTGGTGGCCATGAGGACTTAGGGCCCGTGGAGCTTGGGGAGGGGACATAGCAATCAGATAGGGGTGGCAGAGGCCTGAGGATGAACAGTGGGTTTAGCGTCAAAGCCGCTGCAGAGGATTAGGGGGCTGGATGGTAGGAGGGAGGATCCCGCAAACCCCGGCCTCCCGCCCCCAGGAGTGGCCCGACCCTAAGGATTGGAGCTTGCAGGACACAGACGCCTTCGTGCTGGTCTACGACATCTGCAGCCCCGACAGTTTCGACTACGTGAAGGCCCTGCGGCAGCGCATCGCGGAGACCAGGTGAGGGCGCGCCGGGAGGCGGTGGTGGTGGGCAGCCACTGCTGGTCTGACCAGGCTTCGCTGGGGGGAGTGAGCAGGGCATCCCACTGCTGGGGGGAGGGTCTCGGGCCTTCGGGATCGGCCTTTGCCCATGGGAAGGTCTCCAGCTGTAGGCGCTCTTTGGCCCACAAGGCCTGGTGTGTGTTAGGGAGGTGGCTGGGCGTAGCAAGGGGATGTGCCTAGTGTATATGCCCATGGGGGGATTCTCCAGGCGTGGGGTCCCTGGCACCGCGTCTCTCTTCCCCATCCGGCCCCTAGGCCGGCGGGCGCCCCCGAAGCACCCATCCTCGTGGTAGGCAACAAGCGGGACCGGCAGCGGCTGCGCTTCGGACCGCGGCGTGCGCTGGCAGCCCTGGTGCGCAGGGGCTGGCGCTGCGGCTACCTCGAGTGCTCGGCCAAGTACAACTGGCACGTGCTGCGCCTCTTCCGCGAGCTGCTGCGCTGCGCTCTGGTGCGCGCGCGCCCTGCACACCCGGCCCTACGCCTGCAGGGGGCGCTGCACCCCGCGCGCTGCAGCCTCATGTGACCAGATAGGACGCCGCCGCCCGTGGGTCCTCCATTTGACGGGAACAGGGACCTGGATTGGACCAGATTGCCCAACTTCACTCGGAATGGACAGGGCACAGTCTCCTCCCTGATTGGATGAGGAAACCTCCCACCTAATCTCCTGGGCGACAGGCCTGTCTTTGAACTTCATTGCATCCAGCCAGGTTCAAGCCCCATTTGACACTACCAGTCCTCTCTGGGACCTCACCGGGTGACAGGCCCACTGGATGGCAAGGACCTGGCCATGAATGTGACTGGAAGTGCTCAGACTGCTCCTGGAACTTCACTGGACATATTCTTTATGCCACACCTCTCGCTCCGTAATAAAAGGGGAAGCAATTTGAGTTCACCTGAGGGTCGAGTCTTAAGCCTGGGTCAGAGATGCCAGGCTTGGCCTCCTGGCAGTCACCTCCAGAATCCCAAAGTGTAGTGAGGACCCTCAAAAGGGTGTGATGGGCAGGGCGAGGTGGCTCACGCCTGTAATCCTAGCACTCTGGGAGGCCGAGGCGGGCGGATTGCTCGAGGTCAGGAGTTCGAAACCAGCCTGAGCAAGAGTGAGACCCCGTCTCTGCTATAAATAGAAACAAATTAATTGGCCAACTAATATATATAGAAAAATTTAGCCAGGCATGGTGGTGCATGCCTGTAGTCACAGCCACTCGGGAGGCTGAGGCAGCAGGATTGCTTGAGCCCAGGAGTTTGAGGTTGCTGTGAGCTAGGCTGACACAATGACACTCACTCTAGCCTGGGCAACAAAGCGAGACTCTGTCTCAAAAAAAAAAAAAAAAAAAAAGAAGGGTGTGATGGCCCCAAGGCTGAGTCCCCAAGAAACAGACAGGTGGCTGGAGCAAAACTTTACTGTCAGAGGCTCTGCTGAGCCACAGGTCCTCAGGACACCGAGCTGGACCGGTGGCCTGTAAGGCATTCAATAATATTAGTAATTAAATAGCAACGCTCATCCCCCAACCGGAATGTACAACAGAGGTCCCATTGTGCCATGTGGTACCGAGGGGTCTGGTCCCATGAGGTCTGGTACTCGAGAGGTGGAGGGGGCTCCCTGATGCAGAGGGGTTAAGGCCACAAAGGAAAAGGAGGACTGGGGTCTGGGGCAGCTGGGCTGGTCCATCACATCCAGGAACCTGGCTCGGCCCTTGGGGTGACCGAGTGCAGGGCATGCCAGGTCCCGAGCTCAGCGGGCGCGGATGGGCGACGGGGCCCCCGGGGTGTGGGGATGCGTGAGGGTTTACGGTCTGGCTGCGTGTCCATCCGACCCCGCGCCCAGGTGCCCGAGTGTTCTGGGCCAGCCAGGGTGCTCCCGGCTGCATCTAGTGGTCCCCCCATGCCAGGGCAGGGGCTGCCTTCATCAGAGGAACTGGACAGGGCTTGGCTGCGGGGCCCGGGCAGCCCGTTGGCCGTCCGGCCAGAGTCCCCATGTTGGCCACACTTGCCACCCAGGACGCTGAGGGATGAAGAGGAGGAGCTGGAAGAACAGTAGGCAGAGTCAGGCGCTGGAGGGTCTGGGGCTCGAGCTGGGTCGGGGGCTGGTCCGGTGGGGGTCCCGCTGGCGACGGCCTCAAGGGCGCGCGCGTTGGCCAGGAACTCCTCCTCCAGGCGCCGGAACAGCTGCTGCTCCTGCTGCGGGTCAAGCTGCAGGGGTGTGCGGAAGACACTGGCCGGCGTGGCGCCCAGCTCTGGACTGGGGCTGGAGAGCGGGGGAAGCCGGGGTGCCGCAGGGCTGCGGGCGCGGGGAGTCTGGGGGGTGCTCCTGCCAGAGCCCCCGCTGCCCCTGCCCCGGGGCACCCACGAGTGCTGCCCATCTCGATCCCTGCGCACGAGCAGTACCGCCTGCTCCTCCCGGCTCTGGCTCCGCGCCCGCCGGGCAGGGCTGGGGGCCGGCACCTGCGCCCCCCTGCCTCCTGCGGCCCCGCGGGGCCGACCGCGATCCAGCCCGTCTCGGGATTGGCTGCGCGGAGCGGGGGGCCTTCTTGGAGAAGCGGGGGTGCCTGTGGTCAGCCGGCTGGGTCGCTCCCTCCGGGGGCCAGTGCCCGTGTCGTCACTGCGGGCACCCAGGGGGCAGCTCTGGGCGGAAGAGGCTGAGGAGTCACTGTCCCCGGAGTAGCGGCGGGAGCGCGGATAAGGGGGCAGCTGATCCCGGGGCCTGGGGCAGGGGAACAAGAGAGAGATGGGGTATCACAAAGGCCCGGCATGCAGGAAGGGCAGGGACAGGAACAGCAGGTGTGTGGCTGGTGGACTGGGAGTGCTGGTGGCTGTCCAGGGCATCTGGGGACTTCCAGGGAGAAGTGAGACATTCAGTAGCAGCTTCCTGCAGCCGCCCAGGGTCCAAAGGCAGAGGAAGAAGGTCTCCTGGGCCCTAGACTCTCCTCCCCAGCCCTCCGGTCTCCCCCAGGGCGGGCCAGACCAAAGCAGGGGGTGGACTGGCTGCCGCCCAAGCCGCCACAGTTGTGTTGTTGGTTTGGTTGGGTTGCCATGGAGACGGGAAGCCAGGCCCACCCCCACCCACGGGAACTTTTCCCAGGGTGTGAGTCACTCTGGAGCACAGGCAACTCGTCATCCAGGCCAGGGCTGACACCCCCACCCTCTGGACCCCCCCACTTCCTCCCATATCTCACCTGGGTGGGGTCTCAGGCCCCTCCTTTGTGCTTCGTAAGCTGAGGGGAGTCATCTCTGGCCGGGAGCCCCTGCGCTCACTCCCCGGGACTGGGCTGCCAGGGCGGGGGCTGGGGGTGGGCGACACCCTGGGCGGGGAGAAGGCGCAGGCCCTCGGCTGGGACAGGCGATGGGCTGTGGGCACAGGACAGGCGGCACGTGAGGAGGGGCTGCAGAGATGGGCCCCATGCCAGCCACCCCCACCAGGGCACGGACCGGTGGAGGAGCAGCGACAAGGGTCATGCTTGTCCAGGTAGTGCTCTAGCGTGTCCCAGCCGCCGCCCACACGCACCATCACATGGCTCCTCAGCACCTGCGGGCGGTGTGGGCAGGTCACAGCTGTGTCCCATGGGCCTGGCAGCCCACCCCCCCGCGGCCTTCTGCAGGGAGAGTCCCGGACTCACCCGCACGAAGATGAGCAGGCTGGAGTCTCCCACGCGGTACTTCCCCTCCGAGACCTTGATCATGGGGAACTGGTCCGGGCAGGTGCAGCGGCCCAGGATCTCCCTCACCTGAGGCCCCCGAGGAGAGGCTGCAAGTCAGGGGTCAAGTCCCTCCTCCCGGGGCCTGCAGTCAGCAGCTCCAGGGTCAGGAGGAAGCAAGTCCTTCCGGGGCATGGAAACTGTGCTGCCCGGACGTGGGGGCAGCTTCCACATCTGACCTTTCACCAGCCCCCCTGTCGCTCAGGGCCCCGGGAGCAGCCCAGGATAAGATGGGGGCTGTGGTCAGGCCAGCGCCAGGCCCCGACGAGGAACATCCCGCAGCCCGTCCTCGTCCCCTCCCCTTCCCCCACATCACAGACAAGAAGGCTGAGGCCAGGGCCTGGAAGGAGGCAAGTCATGGGACACAAGTGCAGGGCATCCCTGCCCCTGAATGGGCACTGACGGAGGGGCCCCACAGACACGTGGGACGCACACAGGCCACCCTCCCAGCCAGCACACTGCACAGTGCCCTCCCCAGGCCCAGAACTGCCAGCCTGGCTATGTGGGCGGCCCTGCCCGCCTCCCGCCCACAGCGGCAGTGGCGCCAGAGGAAATGAGCAGGTGGGGCCTTGGGTGACCCTGGCCCAGGACGGGGGTGGGGCACCAGCCTCTGCCCATAGCCATCCAGCTACCCACCCGCCTCCTGGGCAGGCACATCATAGTCCTAACCTCCCGATAAGAAGGAAACTCTTGGCCCTGCTGCGGGGGTGGCAGGGACACCCAGGTCCAGGGAATGGAGGAGGGAGCCGGGGACATGGGCCAGCACCTCCTAAGCTCGGAGTGGGAAGGATCCTGCAGCTCCAAGCAGGACTTCCTGTTCCCGCCAATAGCAGCAACTCCAAGCTAGGCTCCCAGTGGTGCCTGGGGACTGGAAGGGCCCTGCAGAGCCCCTGGGGGCTTCCCCAGGCACTCACTGAGCACCTACTGTATGCCAGGCACCTTGCCCAGGGCTTTCCACGCCAGGTCTCTCAGCCAAGCATCATGGCACCCGCTCAACCCTGCGCGTCTGGGAGGCTGTGGGTACATCTGTCTGACCCTGAGCGCAGGGGGCGCACATAGGAGGTGCCCCAATCACGCAGCCCCCGGAAGAAGGAATGCACGCTTAGCAGGTGCATGGTTAGCACAGAAAGGAAGGGAAGCTCACGCCAGGAGCCAGGATTCTTTTTTTTTTTTTTTGAGACAGAGCCTCACTTTGTTGCCCAGGCTAGAGTGAGTGCCGTGGCGTCAGCCTAGCTCACAGCAACCTCACACTCCTGGGTTCAAGCGATCCTCCTGCCTCAGCCTCCTGAGTAGCTGGGACTATAGGCATGTGCCACCATGCCCTAGGGCTAATTTTTTGTATGTATATATATTTTAGTTGGTCAATTAATTTCTATTTTTTTTTTTTTTTTAGTAGAGATGGAGTCTTGTTCAGGCTGGTTTCGAACTCCTGACCTCAAGCAATCCACCCACCTCGGCCTCCCAGAGTGCTAGGATTACAGGCCCAGCCAGGAGCCAGGATTCTAACCCTGGGCCCAGCTGGCCTGTGTGACCTCACCCAGCACCTCCCCAACTCCTTGGGGCCAAGTATACACTAGGTGCTCAACATCTGCAACCTTTCCGCGGGGCAGGCTGTCCTGCAGATATCAGAGTGGACCCCAGGAGGTAGGGGACAGGTTGTGGGCACTGGCGCTGCCATCTGGGCTCTCGTGCGTGAGCAGTCCTGGGGGACTCACCAGCTCGTCGAGGTTGCGCAAGTCGCTGAGGGTCATGCGAGGCCCGCGGGTGGGAGCCCCTGGCGCGGCAGCGGTTTCCGTGGCGCCGTCCCCAGCCGCGGGGGCACTGGGCGCTGGGGGTGCGGCGCGCAGCTCCCGCTCGATCTCCTGTTCGAACTGCACGAGGCGGGGGGCCAGCAGGCCGAGGCGGGCCCCGCGCCGCGCCACCTCCAGCAGGCACAGCACCACGCTCTTCTCGTTCTTGCGCAGCACCAGGTCCTCGGTCTCGAACATGAGCACTTCGGGCACGCCCAGCTCCGAGCGGCACCAGCCGATGAAGGTGGCCACGTTGTCTCGGGCCATGAAGGAGCCAGGCGCCACGTTGTGCGCCTGGAAGGCCACCCCCCGGGCTGGGCGGGCAGCAGCCAGGGCGCGGGCGGCCTCCGTGACAGCGTTGGCATGTCGGCACAGGGTTGTGCCTGTGGCCAGGCCCTCCAGGAAGCCATCGCCACCGCCGGGCAGACCCAGGCTGTACAGGGCGTTGAGCCACTCGGCCAGGTCCTCCTTCATAGCCTCCACGTAGGCCTCACTTGAGCGGAACGGCCGCACACTCTTGGCCGCTGAGCCCGCGATGCCTGCCACTGGGTCCGCCATGCCCGGGCCAGCCGAGTCACTGTGGGCAGGGACACAGGGCAGGATTGCTGTGAGGACCCAGAAAATGCTCAGAATAGACTAAGCTGCTGATCACCTGCGCCAACCTGTCGATCAGGCCAAATGCCCAGTTTACATACTGGCTGTGAGAAACTGCTCAGTGCCTCAGTTTCCTTATCTGCAAAATGGGTACAGTAACATTACCTGCCTCATAGGATTCAATGGGATAATTTTTTTTTTTTCTTTTTTTGAGACAGGGTTTTTCTGCCACCCAGGCTGGAGTGCAGTGGTGTGGTCATAGCTCACTGCAGCCTCCACCTCCTGGGCTCAAGCGATCCTCCTGGCTCAGCCTCCCGAGCAGCTGGGACTACAGGTGCTCACCACACCCAGCTTCAGTGGGATAATTTTTATGAACAACTTAGTGTCCATAGGTGTTTGCAGTTTGGCTCTTTTATGGGGTGGCGATTGGGGGTTGGCTGAGGCCTCCCTCCTGAGCAGGGTGAAGGGCTGAGATGGGAGAGAGGTGAAACCTAAGGCCTGAACCCGCGGGCAGGAGAGGGACCCAGGTCCCCACCTCAGGGTGGGCTATCTCAGTGGTGAGGGGCTGGTGCCCATCCCACCTCTCGCAGGAAGGTCCAGACTCCTCCCCGGCCCCCTCCCTCTGCCAGCAGCGTGCCATTATAACAACGACAGTCCTATTATCAGTAACAGCAACGGCGGCGGCTGGGGCTGAGCGCGCGGTGGTACTATCTCCATTTTACAGATGAGGAAACTGAGGCGCATACAGGGTAAGCGCTGAAGGTCGCAGAGCCTGGGTGGAGGAGCCCGGGCGGCGGGCGCAGGGCGCAGGGCGCAGATCGCGACCCCGCAGCCCAGCCCGCCAGGGCCAGGCCCCGCCTCCACCAGCAGCCTCCGCAGCGGCCCAGGCCGCGGTGCGGGGCCAGCTCTCGCGACGGCGCCCGCAGGGCCCGCCGGTCCTCGGGCTCCTGCCCAGAGAGGGTGCGGGGCCGCCCAAGGTCACACAGCCCTGGGGAAGCGAGGCCGCGGACGCCGCCGCTCGGCCCCAGCGCGCGCCGGCAGGGCGTGCGGGTCCCGCGCTCACCTGGCTCATCCCGCGGCCCCGGGGAGCATCGCCGCGGCGGGCGAGGCAGGCCGGGCCGCCGCAGGGAGGCGCCGCCCGAGCTCCGCGCCGTCCCGCCGCCGCCGCCGCCGCCCCGCCCCCCTGGAATCCGGCTCGCCGGGCGGGCGGGGCTGCGCCCTTAAAGGGGCCGCGCCTCTGCCTGGGGCGGCCGCGCGCCGCCCCGCCCCCGCCGCCTGTCCCCGCAGCCGCGTCCACTCTCGGGCGTCCCGGGCAGGGGCTGGGCCCTTTCGATTCCCCGCCCCGCACAGTGACCCCCGCGGGCGGGCGGGCAGCACGGCCTGTTCCCGGGCGAAGGCAGGAAACGATAGGGGCCGGGGGCTGCAGAGTCACCTCCGCCGGGGCCCTCCGCGGGCAGATAACCCGGCCGCGCGCCGGGCGAGCTCCCCAGCAGCGCCGGCCCAGGGAGGGCGACGATGGCCCCAGGGACTGACGCCCACGCGGCGTGGGCGCCTCGTTCTCACCGAACGCTCGTTTGTAACCCTGAGGTTAGGGGAACCCGTTTTACGGATGGGGACACTGAGGCTCAGACGGGCAGGCGGGTGGCCACGGCCCGTGTGTCCAGGCGGGGCGCCGCCGGGCGCGGGAGGGTTAACCCCGCCGGTTCCCTGGAACTGCAGAGGAGGGACCTGCCCGGGAAATCCTGCCCCCTGCTGCCGCCGGCTGGCCCCGCCAGGCTGCTCGGGCGGCGCCTGGGGGAAGCACAGCCAACAATAGCCACGCTCAGAGCTTTAGTAAAGCGCCTACTGTGTGCCAGGCCTGCTCCGCGCCTTCCTAGATGAGAAGGAACTAGAGGGTCACCTCTACGGAGGACCGTGTCGTCGTGCACAAACTGGGATGCAGTCAGGGAAGCAGCTGTGGAGCTGGGATTTGAATGTGACTATTCTGGGAACACCCTCATTCTAGGATCAGGAACATTTATTGAGCACTTACTGTGAGCCAGAACTCTTGGTGCCAAGCCACAGACAGGCACCACCTCGCCGAGAGGCCTCTCCTCGTGGCCTTGCCAAGATGGTTTCTCACTGACTGCCCTGGGTGCGGGGTGGAGGGGGCCCTGCTGTAGCCCTCCCTCCGCACCCTGGAGTGGGGAAGGCAGGGAACTAGGAATACTGATGGCTGACGCCTACGGGGCGCCTACTGTGTGCTGAGTCTCTTGGCTGTGGCACCAGAGCTGGCACCAGACCCAGCCAGCTCTTGGGGCTTGCTCTCTGGCAGGGAGGCCGCCCCTGCAGAGACAGGGCTGCGGCGGGGGGAGGAGAGAGTGGAGGGGGCAGGTGAGGGAGGGCAGGTGTGGGGGGTGACCAGATTGCAGTTTTAAATCTGTGATCAGGGAGGGTGAGGGAGGCAGCGGCGTGGGCGTCTGGAAGGAGAGAGTTGCAGGCAGAGGGAACAGCGAAGGTTCAGAAGAATGGGGAGGCCGAGGCGGGAGTGGAGGGAAATGGGGGAGGATGGGGATAGGTCAGAGAGAGAGGGCCTTGGGCCCGTGCCTCTTTTGGGGAACGTGGGAGCCATGGAGGCCTTTAGAGCAGGGGAGGTTGCCTTAGGTCTTCACAGGTTCCCTGTGGCTGCTGCGGTGGGCAGGGGCTGGAGCCAGAGCCCCAGAGGACACCTGGTGACGAGAGGACATTGGATTCTGGCTGTATTTTGAGGGGCAAGCTGAGGGACGTCCTGGCAAATTGGTCCCGAGAGGATGGAGTGGCTAGTACCGTGGGAGGGGAGGGCTGCTGGAGGTGGGGGAGGGCCCCAGGTTTTGGGGGAATCCAAGTGTGGACACTAAATAATTTAATCCTCAAAATAATCCAGTGAACTATGATAACTTTTATGTGTTCTCATTTTACAATTTTGGGAAACTGAGGCCCAGAGAGGCAAGGGATGTGTGCAGTCAGCAGCTGTGCGGTTTGACTCCTGCTTGTAACTGCCTCGCTGCGCTTCCTGGCTCTGGACACAGAAGTGGACTGACCCCAGGCCCTGCTGTCAGTCATTGGGTGGGATGTTAAGTTCCCTGAGCCTCAGTTGTACAGTCTGTACAATGGAACAGTTGTATCAGTCTCGTCATAGAGTTGTGCTCTGTACGGCCCAGGCGCTGGGTGTCCATCCACGACTCCTCTGGGAAGGAGGGGTGACAGAGCGATTTACTCTTCCGGCTCCCCAGTTCCATGAGCTGTGGCCTGTGATCAGAGGCCTGTTCTGGACGGGTCTCCCATGCCTGATTGCAGGACATGGGGCAGCGCTGGTGCCGGCTTTGTTGGCGTGGTCGGATCCCTGGCCCAGGGCGAGGGGGGACTTGCCCTTTACCCCTGCTCTGTTAGGCAGTGGCGCAGCACCCGTGGGGCTACCCCTGGGAAAGCTGCCGCAGCACCAAGGGAAGCCACGGGGATGCTGAGGGGACGCGAGGTCCGGGCTCTGGGGCCCCCAGGCCTGTGTGAGCTCCCTGTGGCTTGTTCCGGCGCTTGCCCGTGGGCACGTGGCCAGGTTTCTTGCACCCGCTGCCGGTGCCGTTGCAGGTCGAGGTCCGATGATGGCGGCGGAGTCCTGGAGCAGGGCCCTCGTGGCAGCTCCGGGAGCCCTGGGCGCTGGGTCGGTGAGCTCGGAGCTCTCCAGGCTAGTCCGGCCTATGAGCACAGCCCGGGATGAGCGAGGGACACGTGGGCGGCTTCAGACTTCCCTGTCCGGATGTGGATCCAGCTTTTGGGGTCCTGGCGCGGGACAGGTCACCCCCAAGCTGCCTCCAGGGCCCCATGTGGGCCTGCCTCCCAGGCTGCTGGCGTCACGCCGTCTTCGCCTCACCGAGGCCCGCACGCAGCTCTGTCCTCTGTCCTCTGTCGGGTGTGGGGTGGGAAGGGCAGCGCGAGGGCCAGCTGCCCTCCGCCCCACACCCCTACACTCCTTCCGGCAGAGCACAGATTGGTCTCCCATGGATCTCATGCAGTGTAGCCTAGTGGGACCAAAAGGCTGTGTTGGAAACTTTTATTCCAAATGTGAGGAATATAGGCCAGACCTTTTCTCTGACTTTTCTCTCTTCTGTACCTGCCCCACCCACCCTCCTCTTCCTCAGCCAGCTTTGTGTAGCCCTTTGAGCCAGGGCTCAGAGTCCATGACTGTGTACAACTGTGCCCACTGCAGTCCAGACGTTCCTTTCTGTTTTACTGAGACAGGGTCTCACTCTGTTGCCCAGGCTGGAGTGCCGTGGTGTAATAATAGCTCACTGTAACCTCGAACTCTGGGGCTTAAGTGATCCTCCTGCCTCGGCCTCCCGAGTAGCTAGGACTACAGCTGTGCACCACCACGCCCTAATTTATTATTGTTTTTGTAGAAACGGGGCCTCGCTACGTTGCTCAGGCTGGTCTCCAATTCCTGGTCTCAAGTGATCCTCCTGCTTCAGCCTCCCAGAGTTGAGTGATTACAAGTTAGAGACACCGTCCCAGCCTCAGGCTAAGAGAAACAGGCCTGACATAAACACCTCCACCTGGGCTAGTTAGCACTAGTGACAAACCCTTCTCAGGGCAGGGACAGAAGGCTACTTCAGTCTGATGTCTGTGTGGTGGCAGCAGCTTCCAGTGACAGCAGCTTGTCCTCCCGTATTAGTGCTGGTGGCAAGCCAGGGAGGTGGGCTGATCACGTGCCCTTTGCTGCCAGAGCACCCGGCCTTGCAGAAACAGGTGCCTATATGTATTGAGGTGGCCGTCCTGTGGTGGGGGGTCTTGTCTCGTGGTGGCATGGCGGGAGAGCAGGTTCTGGACACAGAGGGACTACTCTTAACTCTCACCTTGGCCCCTCCATGGCAAGTCCTCCTTTGACCTCCATTCCCATCTCGTCCAAGAAGGGGTGTAGTAGACCGCTTGCTTTAGAGTTATTAGGAATTAAACACGTGGAGGGACTTAGTGCAGCGCCTGGAACCACACAGGAGTCCAGTGAGGCTGTGGTTAAGCATGGGCCTCCTGCGCGCCTTGGCTCTGACGCCTAGAGGCTGAGGTGGGAGTGTCTTTGGCCCCTTGGAGGAACCACACTGGCCCGTGTAGCTGGGCTGCAGAGCAAGCAGATTGGGATAGCAGAGGCCACAGGGGTCTTTGGGTCACAGCAAATGTGGGAGCCATCCAACGGTTTTGAGATGACTTCTGGTGTCAAAAAGTTGCTGTGGGCCGGGTACGGTGGCACATGCATGTAATCCTAGAACTCTGAGAGGCCGAGGCAGGCGGATTGCTCAAGGTCAGGAGTTCAAAACCAGTCTGAGCAAGAGCACCCTGTCTCTAGTACAAATAGAAATTAATTGGTCAACTAATATACATACATATATATAAACTAGCCGGGCATGGTGGCACATGCCCGTAGTCCCAGCTACTCGGGAGGCTGAGGCAGTAGGATTGCTTGAGCCCAGGAGATTGAGGTTGCTGTGGCATAGGCTGATGCTATGGCACTCACTCAAGCCTGGGCAAGAGACTGTCTCAAAAAAAAAAAAAAAAAGTTGCTGTGGCCTCTAGGAGCCAAGGTGACCAGTAGGGGGCCCAGGAGCCAGGCGGTGGAGGTAGGGTAGGGGGGTGGATTGTGCTATCCTGGGTTTGGAAGAGCCAGATGAATTGGGTGGGGACTGGGGTCTGAGGGAGAGTGAGCCATCTTGGATGGCACCAAGGTTGGGGCAATGCTTCCGTTTGTTTGCCGCGCTGGTGTGGGGGATAGGGCAGGGGCAAGCCCTGCTCAGCACCCATCATCCCCCAAGCCGAGCTGGCACTTGCCCAGGGGGTGGCGTGTCAGCTGTGGGAGGCAAACGGCCCAGCGTGGGAGGACGGCTCAGCAGCACAGCCAGAGGAGCCCAGTGCTAGCCTAGAGGTCCTCCCACGTTCAGGGGCCAGGAGAGGGTAGCAAAGGTGATGGGGGACAGAGGGCACTCTGTTGACTGGGAAAGGTGTTAAGCAGCTGGTGAGTTTCAGCTACTATTTCAGTGAAGGCAAAGGAGACTGGAAGTGGTTTAGAAAGGGAGGTGGACATGACACTTTCCACGCGCTTCCCTGTTGGAGCAGGAAGATGGTTTGATGACTGGAGAGGACAGGTAGGGTTTTGCGAAATGAGTACAGGATGTGACAAAAAAAC